AATTTTAGATAATATGCTTGCAGATTGAGCACACTGTGTAACATTAGTAATATTTTATATAACAAAAGCGTATTCTGATTATTTCCTAAAACTCGTAATGAACATTAACTTCAGGTTTTGTGAAATGTTAGCTTTTAGATTTCTCTTCCTGGACAGACAGGATTTTACTGCTGTGAATTTTATACATGTATGACTTTTGGGTAGGAAAAAGACCAGGGACTCTGGTTTTACCCAGTTTATCCAGCAGGGGGGAAATTATTCTGTCACTACCCTCTGTCAGAAAAAAGTTGCCACTCCTACATCCCTTGATAGGGAGTCAATTTTATGGCTGGTCTTTATCCATTTGGTGAGGGAGGAGCATAAAAGAATTTAAGTACAAGTCTTCATTTATTTCATACTTTTACAATTTCTTAATTTAATTCTTCCTTATGCCTTCACATCCTAGTTCCTGTTTTGAGGATTAAGTTAATGATAGTGGAATCTGATTCTTCAAATTAAAACTGGATATACATTTTGAAATGTCTAATGTTTCATATTTTTTTATATTTAAGAAGAAAAAAGAAAGAATATTGAAGTACCTAAAAATTTTCAACAGAAGACAGCTATCACTCAAGGAATCCCAAGTAGTTTTTCTATTGACTATTGAAAAATGAATGTTAAAAATGTTTAAGTGCTATAATATTTTATACAAAGAATCCACAAACCTAACCTTTTCAACACACATAAGGAAATTACATGAAAAAAAAATCTTGGAAAGATATTTTTCAGGCACGTACAAAGCTTAGGATGTAATATAATAAACTGCCACAGACCCTACTTACATCTGGACAGTTCCTTATATGTTGCCAGTCTTATTTTCACCATTTCACCCCATTGTTTACTCTATAGCACATTTCTCCTAGTATGTCATTTCCTCTACCATTTCACTTGTATCACTAAAATATAGGAATAGTTCCCCTTTAAAAAGTGCATACCAGCATCACCCCTTTAAAAAAGCAACACCATTTCTTCTGATGTCATTAGATAGCCAGTTGGTATTCAAAGTTCCTCTTCTATATATAAAATATATATATATATATATATATATATATATATATATATATATATAGATAGATATAAATTTATTTATTTATTTATTTGTGGTAGTGGTGCTGGGGATTGAACCCAGGGCCTTGTGCATGCAAGTCAAGCATTCTACCAATTGAGCTATATTCCTAGCCCTATATAATAATATATATTTTTTAAAAATAGTTTAAATCAGGGTCCAGACCAGATCTATGAATTGTAATATTGGGATTGGTTGATATATATCTTAAATATCTTTTTCTCCGTTTCAAATTTCCTCCTCAAGTTTTTTCCTTGCAATTTCATCTTTGTGGAAAAAAATAAGTTTTTATTCTGTAAAATAGTGACTCTGAGACTTTTTGGTCTCACATTGTCTTTACACTGAAAAATGGTTAAAAAAGAGGGATTGTTTGGATGACATATAGATATCTACATGTCTATATAAATACTAATAAATACTAATATTTACTGTTAGAAATAGGTTGTTTTGGAATGTTTATTTAAAAATAACAACAAAAAACCCAGTACATGAGACTATACATAAGTATATATTTTTATGAAAGATAATCATAGTTCCAAAATTTAAAAAAAAACAGAGCAGTGGAATGCTTCACATTTTTGCAGATCTTTTTTAATATCTAGCTTAATAGAAGATTGTTGTGTTCTTATATCTGCCTCTGCACTGTCCATTGAAATCTGTTGTTTTGGTTGAAGTATATGAGAAAATCTGGCTTCATATAGAGGGTTGGAAAAGAGAAATAATTTTACTAGTCTTTTCAATAATAAGTGTACATTCTTCTTTGATACCACACTAAAACTTGACAGGTGATGGTTTCTTGAAGGTTAGTCGAATGTAATTTGAAACCTTATCAGTTGAGTTTTTCATATTTTGAGGCATTGAAATCCATTTGGTCTGTCTGGCATTTTGAATGAATCCCTTATCCATGTGTAGTTTTGTAACATCATGCATTGGTCATGTGGAAAATATTTCTTCACTGAATTGTATATATCATTCAAGTGTTAACAAATTTTGTTATGAAGTATTTTAAATATCACATTTATTGTTATCACCACCCATCTATCTCCTTTGTGAAGTCTTTTGGGAAGCTGTCAAATTCACGGTGATAGATATAAGTATTCAAAAATTCTTTTTTTTCCCTGGAATACTCAAATTAGTATTTCTTTTTTTGATGTGATAGCCTCACTTCATTTACTTTTGACAAAATATTTGCCTAGTATCCAAACCTGAATAAACACAGTTTGTTAAATAAAAATGGAATTCCATGCAAAAAGCAGCTTTAATTTCCATCTCAAACAAAATTCACCAGTGCTTATTTCTTTTTCCAAATAGTGAGTTGGTTTCCTCCTAAACTAAAAAAGGTGATCAGTGAAATATTCTTTTTTTGTTTGTTTTGAATATCAATATGAATTTATAATTTTTTTTCATACAGAGATTGAACTCAGTGGTGCTTAACAACTGAGTCTCATCCCAGCCCTTTTTTATGTTTTATTTAGAGACAGGGTCTCACTGAGTTGCTTTATGACCTCACTGAGTTGCTGAGGCTGGCTTTGAACTTATGATCCTCCTGGCTCAGCCTCCCAAGCTGCTGGGATCACAGGCCTGTGCCACTGTGCCTGGCTTCATGCATTTAAATTTATTTGATGTATTTTAATTAATTGCAACTAGTAAGAGTTCTACTTTGCCTTATTTTGTCTAGTAGGAGCCTCTTCAAATTAGGCCCTAAGTTCTTTGGTTGTGATGTCCCTTGTCTTTGATAGTTTCTTTGCTTTCTTATTTGACAAGATATCCCAGGCTCATCTGGGATATTTTCTGCCATTGAGCAGAAATCAGTTCCTTTTCTGGGAAGATTTAGGAGAAATTGTATTTAGTTACCACAATCAGAGAACCAAGCTGCTCATTATCATTGATTAGTGATTAGATAGCTGGAAAATAGGCATAATACATCATGAATTGATATTGATACTTGCAATTCAAATTTAGGATCCATTGATCCTTTTGTCAATTTTCTATGATATGCACATAATGACTGACTTGTTTTATCTCATATTAAACAAATGAGAGTTTCAGAAAATATCAGTATTACCACCAATGATGTGATTATGGAAAGTTTTGTAATTAAAAAATGAAAATAAAAGCATTATTAGTTTAGCTAGTCAAATTGGCCTTTTTTTATTCCACATAGGGCCTGGAGTGGATTAGGCAAGTGCTCTACCACTGAGCTACATCCTCAGCCCTTTCTTATTTTTGAGATAGGGCTTGCTAAGTTGCCCAGTTTGACCTTGAACTTTCTTCAGCCTTTGGGTTATCTGGGGTTTACAGGTGCTTGTGACGCCTGGCCAAATTAGTTCTTATTATTTTTCTTTTGATACTAGGGATTGAACTCAGATGCTTAACTATCGATCCACATCCCCAGACCTCTTTTATATTATTTAGAGACAGTGTCTGCTGAGTTGCTTGGGCCTTGCTAAGTTACTGATGCTGGCTTTGAACTCGGGATCCTCTTGCCTTAGCCTTCCAAGCCTCTGGGATTACAGATGGGCACCACTGCCCCTGGCCAAATTGGTTATCTTAACTGAGCCTTACTATTGATGTTTGCTGTACATCTTAAGACTGTTTTCCTGTTTCTTAAAGCAACATAGTTGCAGCTATTTCAATGGAATTGAATAAATCTGTTTACTTTCTGACTCAATCACATTGTGCATTTGTTACATTAGTAGATCAGACACTTAATTGATAAATGTAGTGTAGATGACAGTCAATAATGGACTAAATTTTCCCTGTTCTTTTTAACTGTCAAATTGGCCTCTTTATTTTTTATCAATATTTTATCCAGTAGTCTCCTTATATCTGCAGTTTTGCTTTCTGGGGTTTCAATTACTTGGGTGTCTCAGTTATTGGAGGTCAGCGGCTATATGAAAATATTAGATGGAAAATTCAAGAAATAAGAAATTCAAAAAGTTTTAAATGGTGTGCGGAATAATTGACAAAATCTTGCCCTGTTCTGCTCAGGACATGAATCATCTCTTGTCCAGTGTGGCCATGCTGTATACACTTCCCACCTGCTAGTCACTTAGTTGCTGCCTCAGTTGTCAGATTGACTGCTGTGGTATCATCGTGCTTGTGTTCCAGTAACCTTCATTTTACTTAATTACGGCTCCAGAGTAGTGATGCTGACGGTTTGAATATGCCAAAGAGAAATCATAAATTGTTTCCTGTAAGTGAAAAGGTGAAAATTCTCAATGAGGAAAGAAAAAAAGTCATATGCTACAATTGCTAAGACCTACAGTAAGTTTTGTTAATCTCCTACTGTGCCTAATTTGTAAATTAAACTTTGTCATAAATATGTGTGTATGGGGAAAAATGTACATGTAGGGCTTGGTACTGTGTTTTTAGGCATCCACTGGATGTCTTAGAATATATCCCTAGGATAAAGGCAGAGTACTGTATACATTTTTTATTCTTTATCCACACCTACTCTCTTTTCAGTGTCTTAGAAAAGAAAACATCCTTAGAGGGCAAAAATTTCTTGCTGTATGATATCCGTACCCAAAGAGGATGATTTTTTGTTTGTTTGTTTTAAGTGAATATGCTATGAATGAATGAATTTCTTTTTTTTAATAATAGCACAATTTTACCATAAAACTTATAAAATTATTTTCCTATAATTTTATAGGGATTGGAGTGGGGAGATGCTGAGGATCAAACCCAGGGGGTCTTATGTGTGATAGGCAAAGTGTTCTTACCACTAAGCTTTACCCCAAGCTCTGTTAACAATTATTATTAGATCTATGACTATGGGATAGTGTAATCAAGAAAATTGTGTACTGGAAATTGAAGTAGTGATTACTAAATTAAAAATGATTTGCATGTGGAATATTTAGTGATATTTCTTTTTTTCCCCCTCCCCTTCTAGGTTAAAAAATAAATCATGACTGAGTCTGCCTCTAGCACAAGTGGTCAAGAGTTTGATGTATTCAGTGTTATGGACTGGAAAGATGGAGTGGGCACCTTACCAGGAAGTGACTTAAAGGTAGGCTCTCCTTATTATTCTGATTGTGTGTGTGTGTGTGTGTGTGTGTGTGTGTGTATACATCTGTATGTGTGTTTATTTTTAAATGAATACATATGTGAAATAAGAAAAGCATTAACCACAGTGCTTCGGGTTTTATGTCATGCTCACACATCAACAGTAAATTTACAAGACACGTTGGAATGCTGATGGATTGGCAGAAGCTTTTGTCACTTGAGTTAGAGGACTAAGAATATAAGAATATTCTGTAGCATGTTCTCATTTTACAGAAATTAATTTATAGCTTCCAGGAGGATCATCTCAGTTTTGACTCCATCATGAGGGCCAGTAAATGCAGAAATGGCAGAGATGAAGAGATTAAGTGCAGAACTTTGATTTTCAAAGATAGCTTCTTGGATTTTGTCGTAATGGGCTTTGCTACTTGGAATAACTATATTTTCTTTGTCTTAGCCTTCTTGTTTAAAAACTGGATAAAATAATGTTAAAATACTGAATAAACAGACTTTCATTTTCTTAAATTACTTATAATGTAAATAATTGTTTTTTGTATAATCACTTGTTCAAAACAGGACTTTGCTGTAAGTCATAGTGCTTTTTTTTTTTAGATGAGAACCCTCTTCAGGAGTTTCATTCTGCTTCTGTTGTACATGCTTGCCCTGCCCCTTTCCCCAGGACCCTTTTCCACTCTAGGCCCATCTGTGCTGCACCGTGAAACATGGTTGTGCAAGCATCCATCTGGGGAGCCAACTGCCCCCACCTCTCATATCTGATTTACTTTTGCTCTGATCCTATCACTGAGACCTTGAACCTGTCGGTGGCCTTTTAGACTTTCTGTCTGTGTTTGGTCATTTGGGTGTTTGAACTTCCGATCTCCCTAATAGACTGTCATCTGACTGGCCTCTTTAAGGCTTAGTGTTCTGAACTATCTTGAATAGAAAAATTTCCCCCTGATAGAGGCTTCTTGGAATCTAATCCCTTTTCATGGCTGTTTGACAAGTATCTTAGCCAAGCCTGCCCTCACTCATCCTCAGTGGGGTGATTTGAACAATCTGGCTGTCGTTGGAAAAATACTTGAGATTTTAGTTTGGTTAGGTTTAATTAAGTGCAGTGTTCCAACATCTCAAGTTTACTGTCACAGAAATATTGCAATGAGTTTAGTGAAATCTGGAGAAATTGATTTATTTTAAATGAATACCAAAATACAGTTAGATAGGAATATTTATTCTAGCTTTCTATAGCATAATAGTTGATAACTAGACTGAAACTGAATGATAAGATAAATTTTAACGTAACTCAAAAGAGGAGTCCAAAGATTTCCAACACACAGAAATGATTAATGTTTGGAGAAGATGGAAATATTAATTACCCTGATGTGATCATTACACATTGAGTGTGTGTGTGAGATACATATATGTATATACACGTACATATATGTATACATATATATGGAATTATTTTACTGTACTGTAAATATGCAGAAATATTTTGTGGCAATTAAAAATTTACAAAAAAAAGTTGGTGTTAATTTTACTTCTGTGTGACCTTCAACAAGTTAATTAAACTCTTCAGATCAATTTTCCTCTATAAAATAAGGAATTAAACAAATATTAAGGATTTTATCTGCTCTGGCATTTTCAAGTATCCATCTGGACATGATATGATAGATAGTACTGAAAATTTTTGAGTAAGAAAAAATATTTCTCAAGTTCTAATAAAGCCAAACATATATGAGCCACCTGAACTTTGTCAGATTATTTAAAATTCCCAAGCTTTGGAAGCCGTATCTGTCAAATGGGGCTTTTAGAATCTATAGTAAGATTTACAACCATAAAAAGGGTTATGAGGATTGAAAAAAACTAATGTATATAAACACTTAACCAATTGTTTATAGCTTTACAGTATCTTTTTTATTACTGCACTCCCTTATTTTTCTTGTATTTTTATTCCTTAATGGCTTTTTTATTTTTTTAACATCAAGTGAATGGAGAAATTTGCAATTATTGTTCAGTTAGCTGTTTTCCCCCCATTTTTTATTGGTGCATTATTGTTGTACATAATGATGGGATTTGTTGTTATATATTTGTACATGCACACACTATAACAATATAATTTAGCCAATATCACTCCCCTGCAAAAAATACACCTTTTAAAAACACAGAATAATAGGTAAGAAACATGTGAAACAATGGGCATGGAGTAAACGTGAGTGTGGAATCTTTCTATTCTACAGTCCAATAATGCAATGGCATGTACTTTTATTTGGCTTATGTTTTCAACTCTGTAATGAAAAATGACTGTATTTTCTATCCATGCATTGTATAACACACTTGGAAATCAAGGAGGAAGAAGAAATACTGGGGAAGGAAGACACAGAAAAATTAAATTTCTATTTCCAATTCTGAATATTCTCAGCTAACATCAAAATATAGTATTATTATACAGTTATAAAACAAAAATCTGTATTTTATCAATTAGGAAGAAGTTTAAATTTTGGAATAATTATAGAATTACAGAAAATTTGCATAAATGTGAACAGAGAGTTCATATATATCCTTCACTGTGTTCAGTTAGCTTTTGACAGGAGATTGAAGTTTCTACCTATAGGAAATTTGGATTGCTTTAAGGTTTTCTAAGCAATGACCTTTAGAAATCAGCTTATACCTCTTAAGGCAATCAGGTAATTAAACCACTTAATGGGTGTTATAATCTGGGTTATTTGATATGACTTTTAGATTCATCTAATTACTGGGTCATTGCCAGGTGTCCAGTTCCCGTTATGTGCTGCAGACAGTTTGACACTTTTACTTCAGAAAATAATTTGAAAATTATTTTTGACTTTATGGCTTTATTACCCATTGTATCTAAAATTCAGAGATTAGCCTGTTGATTATATTATATTGGATGTCTAATTCACGTGCTTGTTGAATTAAAATCTGAGTTGCTTCAGAGAGCTGATTGAGGAAATGATTTTGCAGAAAGTTAAAATATGAGAACTTTGAATCAGTTGTAAAATCTGTCCTCTCACATCATGCTTTGCTTGTTGGATACTAGCCATACTTCTGCTTTTTCACGAGTAGGGGCATGGGGTTCTCCTAACAGTATGGTAGCTTAAGACGGCCCGCCACACTTCACTCAGTTTTCTATCATGGGAGCAGGTTTTTATGTGCTTCAGCTTTGGCCATTTTGAAAGGCTTTTCCTCTGGGAAAGCCTCATGATCACGGCCACTCTAGTTATGTATTTCTTCTGCACTTGCTGGTATCTTTCACAGCAAAGTTCAAGTCCCCTGAAATTTTCTATAGGATATGATTTTGTTTTCTTTTGTGATCTGGCCTCCCTTTGGGCACATTTCATTTTACTTCTCAGCACCTCTGTTTTCAATCCATACCAAACTACTGAGATTTCATACTCTGGACCCCTTTTACTGTTCCCTGTGCTGGAATCCCCCTTCCCCTCCCTAAGCCAACTAACCCTTAGATAAAGCAGAGCAAACTTTGTCTTTGAGGACAGATGTGAGAGGAATAAGGGAATTTCCTCTCTGTTGAACACTTTACCTGCATCTTCTTGTTTCATCCTTTTATGTACTCCTTTGGGGTAGTGTCTGTCTTTCAGGTCAGTTTACAGATGATGAGGTGCAGAGTGGTTATTGCATTGGCTCACGTCACTTACTGGCAGAGCTGGATCTTGAGAACAGGCTTCTCTAGTATTAAAATTGATTATCTTAATCTTATACTGCTGCCTGAAGACTGAGAATATTTTCATATCAACAGAGATACAAGAAAAATTTACAGGGATAGAGGAGGTAAAAACTTATTTCAGCTGAAGAAATTAGGAAGGCTTTGAAAAGCAGAGTTCTTTTGGTCTTTGGGTTCTGAAAATAGGAGATTCAGTGAAGACTTCTAGGGGCAGCAAGGGGAGGAGGGCAAGAGAGAAGGGTATCTAGAAGAGCCAGGAACTTCAAAATCCAGAGAGTGGTAGAGGAGAACAGCAGGTCTCCACCAGTGGTCTGGAAAATATTGTGGTCATTAATAAGGCACTTTTTGCCTAAGCAAGCTTTGGAAACTTTACCACTGCCTAATTTGTTCTTTTTTAAATGCAGAGAAGCATTTGTAGATTAATGTCTTAGGGCCAGCCATCAGAAAAGGCAGGTGACTAAGTGGTGGCGGAAAGGAGCCTGGCAGGATTCCCAGTGCCAAAGCAGTTTTTCTACCTGAACTTCTAATGATGTCTGAAATTTATCCACAGAGAATTATTCCTCTGGGTCATAAGGATTTAGTCTTTGAAAGTCCCTTAGTAAAATGCAGATACTCTCCTGAGAGTGATAGCATCTTATCTAGTCAGAATAATTGCCATTTAGCTGAGAGCAAGACCATGTGGCTGCAAAGCTCGGTGCTCTCTTAATGCTCAGTTTTGCCCTCCTTGATGAATGTTTAAAGCTGTTTAGTTACCAGACATCTTTGCCTTTAAAATACATTGGTAATTAAAATTAAAATGTCAGCATTGAAAGTAATAAAATGATAAGAATAACCTCAGTGGTGTCTTCTAATGATCTATTATTGAAGACAAACAAAAATAGAAAAAAGAGCCTTTGTCCCTAAAGCAAAAATAAAGAAGAGAATTGAATCAATTAAAGGTGGTTCAAGCCAAATAAACACTTTTGCCACCCCTTATAAATTTCAGACATAATTGTTTTCTGATTGACCTGGCTACATCAACATGCAGAAGACATTACCATGTCAGCTGGTGTTTTGTTTTGCTTGATAATCCCTTTTGTAAAATTTAAAATTTGGAAATTCTTGATTGTAGAAGGGAGCCATTTGACAAATTTTTGTACTGTCTCTAGATTAAAAGAACTGATAATTTAAAAGAGAGAGAGGAGAAAAGAGAGAGAGAGAGAGAGAGAGAGAGAGAGAGAGAGAGAGAGACATGAAGTTTCTCATCATTCCAAAGCCATAAAAGCATTACCAGCCTCAGAAACTGAGTGTTTACTTGGGGGAAGAAACAAGTTAGCAAATCAGTCTTCCTGGAATCCTTTCATTGGGACTTTGGTAATGTTAGCAAGGCCTAAAACCATGTGCTCACATTTTTCTACAGTAGTGAGGTGGTAGAAGACATAGTGAATGTGAATTTGAGAAGACACAGAAAAAGTTGATCTCTGTGTCCTTTTGCATATGATAAGGTTGCTTTGAAAATGCTTTGAGGATTTTGATTTTTGAGATAAGTAACTTTGATAAGAGCAGATGTACTTTACTTTCTCAGGGTTACAGGATGCCTTAGAGGATATGATGAAACCTATGGACCTCACCCCCCCAGAATATACATGTGCACATAACCATAATTTTGAAAGCATTTCATGCATCAACCCTTGAAGTCTATCCACAGATCTCTGACTTAGAGAAGCTTACTGTCCCTAGTGACATTGTATCTTTATTTTGTATTTAGACTGTGAATCAGTTACTGGCAATTAATATTAGAAGGAAAAGATGACAGGTTGAATGTTGTGTTTTGGGGATATTACCTTTTTTTCTTCAAAAGTTTTTGACCCATATCCTTCTAAATATAATAGTTGTGCATTTTTACTTGGAGATTCCATTCAGTAGTGTTCTGTTTCTTAGTGTTTGAAATGCAAAGTGGTTTCCAGTTGAGCAAGAAATCTACAACTTCAGCCACAGCAGCCTTTCTGTTTATGAAAATATTTGATGCTAAATTTTTGCATTTATCAAGTAAGCATATATGAAATAACATGTAATACTTAAAAGTGCATATAAATTAACATGTAAAGTAAAACATCTTACTTGAACATAATTAGCAAGTTTTTTCTTATTTTTTTAAAAAATCATAATTCAGAATTGATTTTGTCACATTCTTTAATATCATTAATTAATAATTATCATGACAGGTTGTTTTTTCTACTCTTGCCCAGTAGATGGTACTGTCAGCCTTATTATGAAATATTCTGTTTCCAGAGTTGATCAGTAAGAATAATTCTGTTTTTTTAGTTTAACTTATTTCTAGTTCTTTTCCACCTCATTAAATTTTGTCATTTTTCAGACTGCTATATCATGCTAAATGTTCTACACACATGTTCCCTGAGAACTTGTATCTAGAATGTATGAATTCAGGGCCATGCACAGAGGTAACTATCAGGCATCAACACACAAACAGTAAACTCAGGTTATTGCAGAAACTACTTTGTTTGAAGCTTGCCATAGGTGAGAGGAAGTTTTCAATATTAGGAATGTGAATGTCCATGTAATCAAAATACCCTTACTTTTTAATGATAAAATTGGTCTGTAAACTAGAGATGAAGATAATGGAGAATTTTATTTTATTTGGTATTGGAGATGGAACACAGGGGTGCTTAACCCCTGAACCACATCTCCAGCCCTTTTTATATTTTATTTAGAAACAGGGTCTCACTAAGTTGCTTAGGGCCTTGCTAAATTGCTGAGCCTAGCTTTGAATTTGCGATTCTCCTGCCTTAGCGTCCCAAGCTGCTGGGATTACAGGTGTGCAACACTGGACCTAGCTTATTCTTTTTATTATTATACTTCCTTTTTGTATTGCGGATTAAATCTCCAATGCTTTGCTACTGAGCAGTATTTATTTTTTGAGACAGGGTCTTGATAAGTTGCCCAGGCTGTATTCAAACTTGAAAACTTTCTGCATTAGCCTCCCTGAGTTGCTGGGACTACAGGTGTGAACCACCCTACACCTGACTTAATAGTAGGGGATGGAGATATATATATATTTGGTGGTGTTGGGGATTGAACCCAGGGCCTTGTGCATGCAAGGGAAGCACTGTACCAACTTAGCTGTATCCCCAGCCTAATAATGGAGAATATTAAAAGGCAGTAAAGAAAGAGAAAGCATAGCTCTGGGGAGGGGGACATCAATACAAGTAAAATACAACTGGTAAATCTGTGGGACTGCATAGCTTCAGTGGTACCTGTGTTCTGTTTTCCTTCCCCCAATTTGAAATTTGCAAAATGCAAAGGTCTTAATGTTGGTGAAAGCCTTGTCCAAGATGCAATTATTTCAATTAATTTTTAACATATAGCTAATTTGTATAAAGACTATATATGAGTCATGTAATAATTATTGTCCTGAACATTTTTGTAAATCTTGCCTCTTTCTGCTGTGTCGTCCCTAGTTTCGGGTAAATGAGTTTGGAGCCTTGGAAGTTATTACAGATGAAAGTGAAATGGAAAATGTTAAAAAAGCAACTGCTACCACCACTTGGATGGTACCAACTGCTCAAGAAGGTAAGAAAGAGTCGTCTGCTTTTTATTTCTTCCCATTGAGAGTTTCGAAATGAGAATATCTAAGGTTTTATAACAGGCTGGAAATTGGAAAGTCCTGGGTGATTTTTGTGTCTCATGTTCTTAGGTAAATTTCTGTAATGAAAAATGATAGGAGCCAGCTTTTAAAATATTTAAAATAACTATAAACTGTCTTCTTTCCTAATGCCAGATCTGTAATAGCACAAAGTTAGTTTGAAATTATCAAGTAAATCCAAGTTGTAATCGCCTACACAGGTGATTGAGCCAAAGCCTGCCACTTTTTTTTCTCATCTATTCCGATGGTTGTAACTAACACCTATATGCTGATGACTCCTAAATCTATTATCTCCAGCCCCGACCTCTCCCCCGAGCTCCAGGCCCGTATTTCCACCTGCCTACTGGACATCTCCACCTGGATGTCCCACAGGTACCTCAAACTACACATGTCTGAAATGCAATTCATTTTCTATTTCTTTCTCCCTTTTCCCCAAACCTGCTCTTTCTTCCGTAACCCATGTTTCAGTTGACCTAGCACCATCCGCCCAGTGGACAGGCCAGAAATACAGGAGTCATCCTGAATTTGTTCTTCCCATCCCCATATCCTCTTACTTAATGCTCTTGGTTTTTATTTCCTAAATATGTCTCAGATCTGGCCTTTTCTATTATCACTGCTACTGCCTTAATTTAGGCCCTTATCAACTCTTACCTGAACTATTGCAGAAGTCTTTTAAGTAATTACTTTGCTTCTAATCTCACACCCTTCCAACTTACCCTGCACCCTGAAGTCAGAAGAATTATGTAGATTGCTTATCTGACACTTGCTGATTTCTCTTTGCCTCTTTAGCAAAACATACCAAGATTTGGGTGACCTGCACCCACCTGCTTGCTGTCTCCTTCCTTTCTGTCCCCTTCTCTGTATGTGTTGTGTCCTGCCAGTGCCAGCAGCATAGAATTATGTGGGATTTTCCCAACTCAGCTTGTGGTTTCATGCTTCCTTGCCTTTATTCATGCTGTTTTTTCTGGCTCAAATGCCATTTCTCTCTCTGTCCATTTGGCACATTTCTCTTCAGCCATCAAAACCCTATTGAGGCTTTGTATCAGAAAATCCTTCCCTGACCTCACCCCACGCCGAATGAATCACTTCTTCCTTTGCACTACTTCTGGAACTTGTTCATGCTTCTATTATTGCATGCATCACATTTTATTGTAAATATTGGTTTTCTTGCCTGTCTCTTCCTCTAGACTGTGAGCTGTCTTGGGCAAGGTCTATAACTGTCGTTACGAGTGTGTAGCATAAATTGTTGCCTTATAAATGTTTGCTGAACGAATGATTAGTTTAATGATTTAGGCAAAATGAAATGCGAGTTACCCAATGATTTGTGTAATTATGATTCAGAAAATCTACTACATTAAAAGTAAAATAGATGCTAATAGATGCTAATTAAGTAAAACAAAATTACTCATCAAAAGGCTAGAAACATGAAATGACAATAAATGACCCTTTTGATTTTATCAGAGATGCACCTATAGATTAGAATTCTAGAGACTGACCATTGTATCTTTGGAATTGAGTGATTAAAGAAGTTTTCTCCATTTTACTTTGAACTCCGTAGAAAAAGCCTTGCATAAGCATCTGTTTGTTTTTTGGCAGATTATTTTATTATAGAAATAATTTGAGTGATTTCCTGCCAAGACCATTTCCCTCTCCCTCCCAAATTCTGTAGTTCAATATTCTATTCATTCAGCAAACAGGATTCTTCATTGTGTTCCTAACAAAATTATTAGAAGGAAAATTATACGTATATTTTGGAATGTCTTCTGTCATGGTTTTAATTCTTTTCTTCTTCTGTTCATCTTCTAGTCTTTTCAGAGAAGACTGGGGTGCCTTTCAGGCTGAAGGATCCACTGAAAGTAGAAGGGCTTCAATTCTGTGAGAACTGTTGTCAGTATGGCAATGTAGATGAGTGTCTTTCTGGAGGAAACTATTGCAGCCAGAATTGTGCTCGGCATGTCAAAGACAAGTAGGTTGTTGCCCTTTTCCATCTATAAAGTGGGTTTCAGAGTCCAACATCATGGTGCCTTTGAATACAGAGATTTTGCACACTCTGCCTTGTGTCACTCATTTTTGCCTTCTTTTTCAGAGACTTTCCCCCTTGGGGACTCATAACCCGGGTCCTTCTTAGGTCTAGTGACTCTTGTCACACCTGATTTGAGTTGTACTGCCAGTGTTCTCCCTGCAGTACAACTGTGCCTCTGCCTTCAGCCTTACGTTTACATTAATTTGATTATTCCCCAACTAAGAGTATTTAGGTTTTTCTGAGCTACACTCACATCTTAATGATAATAGTATGTATGGAAACACAGTTCTGTTTGTAATTTCAGGAGTTCTTAGGTAACTCAGTTTAAACTCCACATGCGAAACAAAGCTTCCCACTGACTGGCTGGCAGTGAGTCACCTGAGTGAACGTTGCCATGGTGGGTAGCACAGTGAGTCATGTTAGGATGATCTCAAGGTGCAGACAGGTGCTATGTGACCTTCCCTTTTGGGGACCCTGACAGGGTTGAGCTAGTCAGCAAGAAGGTATATTTCTTGCATGTAATTGTGTATATAGACAGATGACTTGATGTTTAAGTGTAGTGGAGCTTCCCACATATTTAAATCATCATGGCCTTGGAATTTTCTGTTTTTGGTGGCCAACTGATGCTATACAAAGTTGTTTTTCACCTTTTCAGTTATTTTCCCATTCTTAATATTGCTAGATCCTTGCTTTAAAATTGATCTGAAGATAAGTACCTCTAAGTCACTGGTTCTTCTTTGGATGGCAGACATGGCAGACAAATAATTGTATACTTGTTAGCATCTATTTCACTAAAATTGCTGGTCCCCTTTTAAAATTGACAAATAAGGTAATTTATACTTTCTACCCTGATAGAATGTCCTACATAATAGTGATTTTAACTGTTCTCTGAATGTGATATTCTACTGCCTATGAACTTCTCCTGGTGATTAAATATTAAATATATTTCCTTTGGAGATAGATTTTTTAAAATAATTTTTGAATTGATAATCAACATGTAGATGTTTGATAGGTATTGTTTCCTGTCACTATTTTGGGGTTATAAACACAACAGAGACCAGAAGGAAGAAAGGGATGTAGGAGAAGACAACGAGGAAGAGGATCCTAAGTGTAGTCGGAAGAAAAAACCAAAATTATCTCTGAAGGCCGACCCCAAGGAGGATGGAGATGAGAGAGATGATGAAATGGTTAGTATCTCTTAGGTAACTGCCAAGGACCACGGGGATGCTTCTCAAGTGGGTGGCATAGAGGTCTCAAGCACTGCCCTTGAGCCAGTTATTTGAGTTCAAATGTTGTTCTATTACTGTTACTGTTTGACAGTTGCCTGGCCTCTTTGTGCCTTACTGTGTTCCTCTCAAAATGGGAATAATAAGTAATAGTACCTTCCTTTCAGGTGAAGAAGTGGGAGGTGCTGGAATTTACTACTGGGCTAAGAGGCAACAACAAAACCTTGCAAAATGATAAACCCATTTTGATAAATTGCAAGTAGTGCAATTAAAAAACCTATATGAGTAGATAGAAAATGACAGATAAATATCAAGTACCTTTGGGGAAAAAATCATTCAAATTGTGCTAATTAAAACATAGATATCTTATCCATAAAGTATGTCTAAGTGGTTCCATATGAAAAGAGTACTTAGAGGTCACAAAGCATTTCACTTAAGATCAACATCAAGCCACAGTTATTTGCTGGACACTATTCTGCAAGTGTGGAGTATAGGGGATGAATGAAAGAGTAAAGAGGCCAGGGTCTCTCCTTGCAGAGACATTTTCTTCTTGTTAGGGGGACATAATCGATAAAGTAAATGAACAGGAGTAATATCCATCCTAAGTGTTATGTTGAGAATTAAAATGGGGCATTAGGATTGGCTGAATCATCTAAGTTGGGTTTTCAGATGATCACGTGGTCTCAGTAATGAGAAGCCAGTGCTGAGCAGTTAGGAGCGAGCAACCCTTGGGGCAGCTGCACTTCTAGGGGAAAGCCTAAGGTGAGAACATACATGGCATGTTCTATCAAGGAAATATCAAAAAGACAAGATAGTCAAGCATCAGGGATGGGGGCAGAATGGAGTGAGGTGAGGCTGAAGAGGTTTTGTGTAGTCAGGGAAGATGGGCCTTCATGGTAAACCAGAGTAATGGGTTTTCATTGTTTCCTGGGTGTAATGGGAAGTTGAAGGCAAGGAGATGCTGTGATATGATAAAGGGAACCAGTTAGAAGTTGCTGGCAATAGAATACATAGGTCAGAGGGCTGCATAAGATAGAAGTCAGTGTATTTAGAACTGTTTGTAGAAGTAGGGTTGTCAGGCTGTGGGAGGGAAAGGGAAGACTCAGAAGTTCTAAGAATTTCTTAGATTAAGAATAGGAAGGCAGGGGTGGCACAGAGAACCAGGAGTACTTTGGCCATCATTAGTTTAAGATACTCATGAATCTCTCAAGTAAAATCCCAAGTGTGCAGTTGGACACAGGCACATGGAGTCAGGGCAGGGAGCTGGAGACGAAGGTTAGGAGTGTTTGGCATAGAAACGACCTTGAGATTCCAAGGAAAGTGGTCAGATGGAGGAGAGAAGGGGCTGTATTGGCAGAAACATCTGCAGAGGAACCTGAGAGGGGGCCTAGCGGGGTCTGAGGAGAGCCAGAACATAGTGGTCATGAAGCTGAGAGCAAACTATGTTTTGAGGAGGAGGGGGCAACATTTATGCCCTTCCATAGTGTAATCCTTGGAAGTGTTGTTCTTTTTCTAGAGACCTCAGGCCAAAAGCAACACAGTACTCGAATGATAGTCTTACATTGCCTTCAAATTTATGAAGTGAAATTGAAAAGAACAGCAACAAAATAAGCTTGCTGACAGGTCTCTTGCTTTTCATTGGTGCCAATTTCATGAACTTTTAAAGTCATAGTTTTCCTTTTTTACTGTAGGAGAACAAACAAGATGGAAGGATCCTGAGGGGTTCACAGAGGGCCCGAAGGAAAAGACGAGGGGACTCCGCTGTCTTAAAGCAGGGTGAGCTGATGAGAGAATACTTTTGCTTGTAACTGGGTGAAATTGAAAACAGTTCGTCTAAGTAAGTTCTAGTCCCCATTATTCTGTATACTGTCATAGTTAAAGTATCGTTGTGGTTCTTTGATTCAGTTTTCTCACTAAAAATGACTTTGAGGAAGTAGATTTAAAGAAAAAGATGGGAATTAGTAACTTTCAAGTAGGTTCATGGTAAGCTAGCGAACATCACCCCCCCCAACCCCTGCATTGGGTAGATGGTTACTGCTCCAAAACCTCTGTTCTTGTTCATTTCATGTTCCCTCTCAGCGTAACCAACTCCTGACATGGAACCTTTTTCCTGTTTGAGTTCTTCAGGCAGCATTTTATTCTCAGGAGGAATCCAGGCTGCAGCCCTTGCTTCATTGTTCGGCTGCACACACTCGTTCCCCTATTTGGCATGGGCCTTCGTTCACTTATATGGCGGCCTCTGTGCAGCTTTGTTCTGGGGCCTGCTGCATCTGCCCTGCCAGTCCTTCCTTCTAGGTCACTCTTCTTTGCATAGCCTAGCTCCCAACCTGCAGTTACAGGGTTCCTGAAAATCATTGCCACAGCCCAGTGCCCCTTGGTGCCTGGAAGTGTTCCTTGCTCATTCTCCTGTTAATTTTTCAAAAAGAATTGGAAATATTTTCACCTGCTTCAAGAGAACAACATAATTTTTACATCTTTTTAGAGGTGGCTTTTATCAGTGAGATTAAAGGGAGTAAATGAAATGCCTGAGTTACTCAGCACTCTGTCTCAAAATGTTTTATTTCTTCAACCTTTCCTTCCTTTCTGCTTAATTTCTGCTCTGGATGAAATTTCAACCCCTTGGTTCTTCTAGCATTTTTTTCCTTTAGTCATTTTTTTTTCCCCTTAAGTGTTCTGATTTTTTTTCCTTGTGGGCTCTCTCTCTCTCTCTCTCTTTTTTTTTTGCCTGTTTCAGTGCGTCCCCTGAATATTTTACCCCCTGACTTTCCTACCCATCAAGCTGTTATACTCCTTCCCTCATTTTTAATGTTTTTATCAGATTAATCAAAAATAAAATAGATATGAACTACCTCCCTGTTTTATCAATTACATGTTTTTTTTCTGAATTGAAAAAATACTGACTCTCACTGCATCAATTTGTTTCCTCTCCTTTTCTAAGATTAGCGGACGTTCCCTAAACATTCAGTGCGCTGGCCTTTTTTCAGTCTTCTACTTCATAATCTCTTAGGAAAAAAAATTTGAGCATCCTGCTTTTAGAAGTTTTCACTTCCTGTAGGTTCCATGGACTGACCTCTCTCTGCTTCCTGCTGGTCTCCTTCATTTATTCTAAGCTCTTCTGCTTCTTTGTTCCGCCCTCATATCGGTGGGTATTCACCACAGCTCTCATGTCTTTGGAAAGAAATACGAGCCATGGAAGTAAGAGAAGAGAGGGGAATAGTACAGTTGGAAGTGAGAGGTCACAAAATACACAGTGGATTTCTTAGATTTGGAAATGCCATCATTCAGTCTCACTTGCCTTTCAGGTTTGCCTCCTAAAGGCAAGAAAGCTTGGTGCTGGGCATCCTATCTGGAGGAGGAGAAAGCAGTGGCAGTGCCTGCAAAGCTGTTCAAGGAGGTACGGCCTTTCTAGAAGTACTGTGTGTAAGGGCGAAGGGGCTCGAATACTGATGTGGGTTAGTATTGTCATTTCCGCTGTCTGTTTAGGAAATGTGACTTGGGATAATTTCTCAAACACACTGCTTTTCATGTGTGTGTGACCCAGAAGGGCACCTCCAAGGCCAGTTAGCACCAGTGCATGCCTGCTTTCCCATGTGTGGCATGTGTGGCACACACATGCTATTTTCTGTCAACATTTACTAGACTTTCAGTTATGATTTTGAATAGGAATACTAATACTACTACTGGAAAATTAATGGGTAAAGAAAAACTAGCATGAAATTTCATGTTAACATCATGGCCCAGAGAGAATAAAAAGGGGTTACTGAGATTTAGGTCTTATAACAAAGAAACATCTAAAAAGGGGTAACTATATTGCATTAGTAATAATAAAATATTTTGTCATAGAATATTTTTAAATTAGTTAAAAATGTAGGTTTCAGGTGTAGTTCTGAGTATGAACTGCTGCCCCAGGCTAAAACAGAGGAGCCAGATAGTAAATATTTTAGTCTTTGCTGGACATCTGGTGTCTGCTACATCAGCACAACTTGATTGTGTAGCATGAAGGCACCGTGTGGAACGTGGCGGAGTCAAGGGGTGGTTAGCTCACTCCTGCAAAGTTTTATTCATAAAACTTATAGTGGGCTGGATTTGACTCCCAGACTGCAGTTTGATAACCTTTGGTTTAAGTTATTTAGTTATAATTAATTGTGGTATGTAATAAATCTATCGTATATATCTTCATGAATGAACATGAGGAGGTTTTAAAACATGTCACCATTTTTTAAAAACTCCTTCTGTATTAGGGTGATTACATCAACAATGACAATATTTAATTTAAACAATGAATTGGTTTTACACGTGAATTTGTTCTGGATAATTATTTTCTGTAAGTCTGGATCTTTACCAGATTTTTTTCCTCTTCTTTATGAAAGTACAACTAATTACTTGAATCAGTAATACATTCAAGTGATTCATAATATAAAAGTACCAAAAGAACATAAAACACAAAGTCCCCTAAAGCTCTGTCCCCTTAAGCACTAGGTTTTCCAGCTGTTCCCTAAAGCTCTGTGCTCTTAAGCACCAGGTTTGCCCGGTGTCCACTAAGCCGCTATCCTCTTAAGCACAAGGTTTGCCTCCCCTGAAGTGACCACTAGTACTAGTTCTTCTATTTCCTTCCTAGAAATTTTTATGTACATACTAGCAACCTGCATATCTAAATCCTCTTCTCCCTGTCTTAAACCCAGTGACACCCTGTGTCCCATACATTTTGGACTTTGCTTTTTTTGTTTAACTTCATAGTTTGTGGATTATTCCACTTCATTTTGTTTATCCCTTGATCATTCTTTATACTCCTGTGTATTACTGTGTCTTACATCTGCTCCATAAAAATTGCAACTGTTCCCTGCTGATTGACACACAGACACATACATATTTTCAGACGTTCACTTTATGCTCTAGTGACCTTGTACACCTGTCATTTCGCACCTGTATGTTAGGTAATTTCCTAAAATTTTGAATTGCTGATTTGAAGAGAATACTCAGTTCTTTTTTTTTTTTTTTTTACAGATATTATGAATTTACTAGAGATTGTACCAGTTTTCGTTCCTATTAGCAATGCATACCTTTACCAGTTTTCCTAGAGCCACCTATCCAGCTCTTTACCAGTCTCATAGGTGAAAGACATCCTTGTTTAATTTTAATTTGTGCAACTGATAGGTGAGGTTGAGTATCTTTTCAAATGTGTGGAAGACAAAGGCTGTAAACCTTAACTTTCTTTTCTATGACTTGCCTTAGTCTTTATCCATTTTGCTTTGAATTATTCTGGATATTTTGTTATAATTTAAATTTAGTTGTTTTTTGATTTTTTTCTCTTATTTTTCTGGCTAAAGAGTCTTTAGGAATGGTAATTGTTCACATTTGCAACTGGGCCTTTGGGGTGATACTAAAGCTGCTGTCATATTGCTTCTCAGTACCAGTCCTTCCCATATAACAAAAATGGATTCAAAGTTGGCATGAAGTTGGAAGGTGTGGACCCTGAGCATCAGTCCGTGTACTGCGTCCTGACTGTGGCTGAGGTAAGCTTTGCCTCTTTCTTATTTTTAAAATTAAATGGTGATCCTGGGTGTTATGAGGAAAACTGTGCCTTGGGCTGAGTGCTCACTTCATGCCAGGCAGGTAGCTCAGTGTACATTATCTCCCCGACCTTCTTGAGATTTCTGACCTGTGCCAATTGTGTTTTTTTTAATCCTTGTTCTATAGATGAGGGAGCTAAGTTTCAGAGATGTGAATGTGATATGTACAAGGCCACAGAGCCTCATGGTGGTGGAACCAGGATTTCGCCTCAGTTCCGACTCCAGAAATGTTTCCATGCTACATTCCTTAACATAAGGAGCAGACCAACAGATATTTATAATTTTTGTATGTGTTTTGGGGTCTCTCTGAAAAATTTTCGAAAAAGTGGCCAAGTCAAATATCTCTTTCTCCATATGTACTATAAGTCCAGAGTATTATTGGGAACATTTCTTTTTGATTTCCTTTTTTCCTTCTTTATTTGCCTCCTTGCTCCTTCCTGTGATCCAGGGTTATGCATCTTTTAAAAACCTTCCCCAAAGAATAAGATGATCTTGGCTACTAGGTTGAGTTATCATAATATTCTTTCAGTGACTTGGTGAATTTGTAAGGAGCTTGGCTCTTGCAGAGCACATAGTATAAGACAGTTGGATGATGGCAATTATAGTGAGTGAAAACGACAGTTACTCTAACCTGCAGCACATGCCAGGTAGTGATCCAGCTTCCTTCCATCTCTTAATTTATATTGGAAACAAGCTTTTGAGATGGAGGCCATTCCTCTGTCTTTCACATATATAGGGAAAGGAAAATACTGTATTTTGCAGATTCTATATACAGTATGAGAATCCTGGGACAGTGTGATTCAGATTGTGTGTTTTCTCTTTTTTTGGACTCTGGAGTCTTTGTTAGAACCCCTGAGTTGGAAGGGGAGAGCTTCTTTATGGACAGTGTCCTTTGAAGAGGATGAGAACCCTGGAGTGGTCACACTGCCCTTGAAGAATAAGGATCAGGCAGAAGAAGATGAGCTGCAGGATTCCGAGGAGTAGCTAGAGACAGAGAAGGGTGCCAGGAGCAGGGTCTGCCATAGAAAGGAAGGGGAGAGTAGTGTCAGATGCTGTGCTTGTTCTCCAGAAGGATGAGGTCACTGTGTCCTGAGCCAGCACATTTAAGTAGAGCAGAATTGAATTTGAATTTAAGTAGAGGAGAATTGGATTAAGCATAGATTGTCTTTGAGAAGTTTAGCTGTGGGTGTGTCTTCCAGCTCTTGGTTTTTGAAGGAGATGATTTTTACCTTGTCTAGATTTTGTGTGTGTGTTTTTTTGGTACTAGGGATTGAACCCAGGGGTACTTAGCCACTGAACCATATCCCCAGGCCTTTTTATTTTTTATTTTGAGACAGAGTCTCCCTAAGTTGCTCAGGGCCTTGCTAAGTTGCTGAGGCTGGCTTGGAACTTGAGATCCTCCTGTCTCAGCCTCCTGAGTCTCTGGAACTACAGGTGTGTGTCACCATGCCCAGCTCCAGACTTTTTTTTTATTATAGAAGTTTTGTTTGCTTACTGGGAAAATATCAACTAGTGTGAAAACACTAGTTCTCTATCCCATCCCCTTTTCCTCTTTTGTAGCCCAGAGAGCATGACCTGAGAAGTTTACTGTGTCCTTCTAGATGTTTTCTATGCATATTTTTCTTTGTGACACATATATTATATACATATGTATGTACTTCATATGTATTATATATTTTATATATAATATATATATGTACTTTTGGCCATTGGTATTATTCCATTTCATGGAATTGCTTTAATTCACTTAATTGCTCTCAAATTGATAACAACTGTGTGGTTTTCTTTGTTATAATTAACAAAAAGTACTTGGATAAATATCTTTTATATCTGATATGTTTTTGCTTATGTAAGTACATCTGTCAGATCCATTCCTAGAATTGCCAGGTGAGAAGTTCTGGACATTTTATGGACATTTAAATTTCTTTCTTTCTCTTTTTTTTTTTTTTTTTTTTTTTTTTGTGTGTGACACATCCCACTATACTAAGGATGGAACCCAGGGGCACTAGCTCTACCACTGCAGCTACATCCTTAGCCATTATTATTATTATTGTGGTGCTGGGGATTGAACCCAGGGCCTTGTGCATGCAAGGCAAGCACTATACCAACTAAGCTATATCCCCAGCCCTATTTTTTGTTTTAAGATAGGTTTCACTAAGTCTCTCAGACTGGCTCTGAGCTTGAGATCCTCCCCACTAAGCCTTCAGTTGCTGGGATTGCAGGCACATGCCACCACACCAGGCTTGGGTATTTACATTTTTGATGTGTGTTGCTACTTGGTGATTCATAAGTATATCAGTTGTTACATTCTCACAAAGGATGTATGAAAATTTGTTTAAGACTAAAAGACAAGTCTCTTCTTGATTTTTAAAACTTTCCCTCCTTCCTTCCATATTCCTTTTTCCCTTCTTTCTTCCTCTTTTCTTTTTCCTTTTGCAATGGAAAGAAACCATAAATAGTTTGAATTTTGAGAAATCCACTAGTGAATCTGGTCCTGGAAGGTTCTGAGAGAGCAGCTGACACAGGGGATGGGAGCAGATGGGATGCAGATACACAGGGGAGTACAGGTCTCAGCCCTGAGGAGGAGTTTCTTCCTGCATTTGAACAGAAGAAGGGGGAATGGCTTGCTATTCTTGAGCACAGGCAAGTCGTACATTTGGAGGCAGACACTTGAGGGGCATCTTTGACACAGAAGGTGAATCATTTCCTGGGAGTGAGGAGTGGAGATGGTGGGATGGGCAGCTGTAGGAGAGGATTTGAAGGCTGTCGTGCAGCATGGGAGAGGGAGTGGACAGAGCAGCTGGGAGTGTTCCTGTGTAGCAGGGCCATCCCAACACTCAGGCATGGGTGGTTCTCAGGAGTTTACTGTTACTATTTGAGATGGTTTTGTTTCACAAATTAGTGCGCAGGGAACTGTTGTTTCCAGAGGACATAACAGTGTTAGGTTCCTTCATGGCTCTGGTCACAATATTTTTATAAACTGATCAATAGATAATCTGATTTACATGTGTTTCTGTTTAAAGACCCCTTATTTAGCTTATATTTTTGTTTCATTAATAGTGAGCCCGTAGCCAGCAACACTACAACTCATGTCTAGATGAAGCTTATATAACCCATGTATTTTCTCTATAAGGCACATCACAGCATTCTGGCATTTAGGGACCTTTTTTTTTTTTTTCTTTCTAGTATTAGGGGTAGAACTTTAGGGCCTTGTGCTGGCTAAGTGAACTACTCTTTCATTGAACTATATCACCAACCTCTTTGGGTTTAAAGAGCAGATCATCAACAAAAATGTGACAACCATGTGTTATGGTTTGGATCTAGAAATGTTCATTGAAAAGCTCATGTTTTGAAAGCATGGTTCCCCAGTGCAGGAATGTTCAGAGATGAAGTGAACTAGGTGGTTAGTAACCCAAGGCTAGTGGGGCATGGCTGGAGGAAATAGGGGCTGGGGGCGTACTCTAGGGGATTATATTTTGCTCCTGGCTTCTTGCTTTCTCTTTGCTTTCTGACGGCCATGAGCTGAGCAGCTTTCCTCCACCACGCCCTTCTGCCTGTCCTCAGGCCCAGACCAGTGGAGTTGGCCAACCATGGACTGAACCTCTGAAATCATGAGTCTGAAATAAACTTTCCCTCCTTTAAGTTATTCTTGTAAGATCACAGTTGCAAAAAGCTAACACATCGTATTACTAAGAAGACACATCAAAGGAGACTCATTTACAATATAGACCAAAGTAAGAAGATAATACCGCCTTGTCAGCCTTGGGTGACTCACATTTTTTTTTTTTTCTTTTGCCACAGTATATGCACATGTTCACAAACACTTGGTGTATTATTTTGTGGGTTAGAAATTGGTTTTAGCAAACAGGTGTATTCTCAAATTTGGAATGCATGAATAATGAAAACCAACCGTATGTCATTTTTTCTTTCCCAGCACTAATCACTAGACTGAGTATAGTGGGTATAGCTAGGGAGTACGTACACCCTTAGGATATTGAAATTTAGCCAGATGAAGTTTCAGGAATGATATCAGGACCAGAGTTTTAAAAAAAATGGTGAGAAAATATTTTAGGTGATTGCTAAGGAAGCAAGACTTGATGAGGAACTGCTAGGAATAAAATGGAAGGATCAACGTGAGGTTCTTGTTTGTTGAAGTGTATTGAGAGTAGCTGGGTTAGCAAACTGGAAAAACAGAAGGTGTCTTCCCAGGGTTGGACTTTTTAGTATAGGTGTTGAGAGGCAGAGCAGTTCCTCATGGCAGGCAGAGTGGATCACAGGAGTGAGCCTCTCAAGCGGAGAGGAAATGAAGGGCACAAGGAAACCAGGGTCCTGGGTGAGTTTCTCTGTGGATGGCAAAGCACTCAAGATGGAGAGTAAGCCGGGCTAAGTGATGAGTGAGGGGATGCTTGGAGGGTAGAATGTGGGATGATGATGAATCTGTTCCCTGTGGCATGAGTGCCAGAGGAGCCCATTGTAATATGAGGCAGTGGCCTTTCTCTTGAGTCTGTGCTGGAGAGTTGGAAGAAATGAGCAGCCTTGAGGAAAAGCTTTAGAGGGATGACTGGGTGAATCTCTGAGCAGTGAGGCTGAGGATATCTGAGTTTGTTCCCAAAGAATAGCATTCCAGAGACCAAGAGGTATATTGACAGACCATGGAGAGAAGTGAAGTGGACGAGTCAAGGGGTAGAAGCTCAGAGCTGTGCTACTACAAGGGCACAAGAGACTGTGGGTGACTAAGGGGCTTAGCTCCTTCCCATGGACCACAGAATGCTGTGTGCAAGGCAAGGTAGAGAAGCAGCCCATGAACTCCCTCTTGGCATGGGTGGATGTACAGGTGGGAACAGCCCCTACCCTTTCTGAGAGTGTGTGTTTCCAAGAGTTGCCAATCTCTTCTCAATGCAGAGACTCTGCAGTCTCCAAGGGAAGTCAGATTAGTTGTAAATCTTATGTATCAATATATTCTAAGTGAAAAAATACTAATGTATAAAATAAAAAAGAAAAAGGGCATCATTTGTTTTGCCTCTTCCTTCTCACTGCACTTCCAGAAGAAATCATTGTTATTGTTAATGTTTTGGCAAATTTTCATCAAGTTTTTTTATTTATTTTTTTCTTAGTATGAATTTACATAGTAAACTTACATTTGTAACTGTAGACATAAATGCGTACGTATAAATGCATACTTTAGGGCTGGAGTTGTGGCTCAGTGGCAGAGCATCTGCCTCGCACATGTGAGGCACTGGGTTTGATACTCAGCACCACATAAAAATAAACAAATAAAATAAGGGTGTTGTGTCCACCTGCAATGAAAAGTATTTTAAAAAATAAATGTGTACTTTATACATATGTATGTATGTATATACACACAGCCAAAGATACTTAAGTACACACATGGACTCCCACATGTATAATTTTTCATAAACAGACTCATCCTATATAATTTGTTTGCCACTTAAAGCTTAACAGTGTGTCTTAGAGATCTTTCCATGACAACTGTACAACTGCCTCATTCTTTTGGAATTAATTGCTCTGACTGTGTACTCTGGTCTCAGGCTTGTTGGATGGACTTCTGCAGGACACATATGTGCTCCTGGAGTAGTTAGAGGTCTGGCGTGTGTGGGGGGGTCCACTTGGAACTCATCTGCTAGTGCTTGTGAAAAGAACATTGAGGGGCTGAATCTTATAAGAGCCCAGGATAGACTATTACCCAAGACAGGTCCCATAAATCCAGAATATCCTTCATTGTGGCCGTGTAGGCAGATGTACAGGGGGGGTTACATTGTGAGTTCTTACTAGCATTGCATGGAACCTGTCTAGCCTAAGTATGAACTGGAAGCAGCTTTTCTTTCTTTTAGCCCAGGTAGAGAGGATTCAGGTGCCTTCTCTCTGTGTCTCCTCTGTCCTTGCCCTGTAATATGCAGAGTAGAAGCCTCTACCTTGGGTCCTGCTTGAGCTGGGTGCAATGTGCTTGTCTGGCTTCAGCCCTGCCAGCTCACCATGGTGATTTGTGCTGGTAAAGTTCAGGGAATGGAGATAAGATATTTTGTATTTGTGGAAAATTATTCTTCACCCCATATCCCTGTGCTTCTAATGGTACTAGAAATGTGGCCAGAACATCAGCTCTTTGCAATATTGCCTTTAGATTTTGTAATTTGTATAGTTGTTTTTGTTGCTGTTAATGAGGGTGGCTTGATGAACGTAGGCTATTTCACACCTTGATGTCCTTGTTAATTAGTTTTTGTATGTGTACTTTTTTTCTTTAATTACTCAACGTGAGTTCCTATTTCAGGTTTGTGGATACCGAATAAAGCTTCACTTTGATGGATATTCTGATTGTTATGACTTCTGGGTAAATGCAGATGCTCTGGATATTCATCCAGTTGGGTGGTGTGAGAAAACTGGCCATAAACTTCATCCTCCAAAAGGTATTATCACTTTTTGTTTCCTATTTTAAAATCAGTAAGAACCCATTTGTTTAGATGTTATCAGATAAGTAAAATGCTCAATCTCCTCTTCTGAGGCAATGTTAACTTTAATAAAATTATGAAAATTAAGGCAAGGACGGTTTTTCTTTGGTGATTTGCTAATATCCTTACTTCAGAAGCCTTGAATTGTCATTTTTGTGGTGATAAGCTAAAAAGATCCTACCTGCTTTATTAATATTTCTTCAACTTCCCACTTGTGCCTATAATATTCCCCCAAAATAGAATAGGTGAGGAAAAAAATAAAATCCATTCCAGCTCACAAGTCTGTACTGCTGAGGATTCTAACTGAATTCTGACGGAAACAGCCTGATGATCAAAAAAAGTGCACATAGGTGTAAAATGTGTTTGCTTCCTTACGCATTTTCTTTGTAGCCACCTCTATTCATTTAGAATTGAAAAAGATTATCAAAACTTATTGAAAGTAAACACAGCTCATGTTTCAAAATGCAATTATAAATTATGAATTAAATTTTATTTATTGAAAAAAATTGTGCAAATGCTTGAATTTGGCGTGTTGAAGTTACAGATAAAAGTCGGACTGGAAAAGTTAAGTGCAAAATGTTTTGATATTTTACTAATCTGTTCATATGTGCTTTTACTGTAGGATACAAAGAGGAAGAATTTAATTGGCAGACCTATCTTAAGACATGTAAAGCCCAAGCTGCTCCTAAGTCATTATTTGAAAATCAGAATATAGTAAGTACATCCAGAATACTTTTTCTTTCAAAGGAAGTGATTTTTGAGAGTCTTATAAGATAAATTACAAGTGATAACAAGGAGCTATCATAAATTTTATTGCCTTGGTAAATAGAGTTCTCTTATCATTACTAAACTTTAAAATTAACTTAAAATCTTCATGAATAAATATTATGTCATAGCCATATTAAGGTTGTCTTATTATTGAGTGATAGTAGGCAACATAGTTCAAATCCAGGTGTAATATTTTAAAGATACATACAAAGTGGATGACTTTATTGTTGCCATCATTTAATTAGAAGTGGTGTTCAGATGGGATTCATATGGTGAGATGACTATAGCCCTGTTTGAGTTTGCACGCAGGAGGTCACTGGAGACTATGAAGTACTTCACTGTGGTTTACAGCTTTATTTACAATATAACAGAAGCAAGGCAGGATATGTGCATTTTTACTACATCTTGACCTATATTCCCACTTCTCATTCCGTTTCTTTTCTGCATCTTTGAGAAGCCTGGAATCTTGAGAGGCTCTTTTCCTTCCCAAGTTCTTCTCTAATCAGAAAGTGCAGAAGACAAATCAAAATATCATCTTTACAACATACATGACCTATTTCTGCAGACAAATGAACTTCTTGATCCTAGCCCCAGAATTTAAGGGATTTACTGCCCTTTTCTACCTGCTAGGGCCAGGGAACACTGGACCCTCTGGCAGAGCAGAAGCTGTGCACCCTGTAGCCCAGCTTCTCCTCCTTCCCATATGCACCTGCTCAGTAATAGTGAGTTGCAGTGTGGAGAGTGGCAGTCATTTTTCATGAACAGAGTTCACTCCAAATGGAAATAAACATTGGGAGCTGGGAAAAACCCTCCATTTGGGAAATGACATTAACCAGTTGGTTTGAAGGCATCAGGCTAATGGATGAAATATTCTCTGATTAAATTGAATATAAGCCAGGTTGAATTAGAGAAATTAAGATATATGAGAGAGTGAATGTGTGGGAATGTGAGTGTGTGTTTAGAGATCTAATAGAGATAATGGGCTAGGTTATTATTTTATAACATTCTAATTGAGAAGATAGCTTAATTGCTGAAATGTAAACACTGCCTTGTCAGTAGGTTTTCGGTTAAGACTTATCCCTGGGAGGAAGGTCAGTTGGGTGGAAACTCGGCAGCCTGCTATCTCTGCTCCGAGTTCCTAATCCCTGTCTGGTTCTCTGATGATTTCAGGCAGGGATTTGATTAACTGTGCTGACCTGTCCTATTACATTCTGTGCATTGCTAGCATACAACTTAATCTCAGGTTGTGAGTTTGATATCCAAGAGGCAACTGATTTTTCTATTTCTAGATTCTCTACCTCAGAATAGTCAAATATTTAAGTTCATAACACTGATAAATAATTGCAGGACTAAAATGGGTATTAAAAATTTCTGTGTACTATTTGTACTTGCTCCTTTAATTCGTATAGAATTTTCTCTAACATTTTTCAGATATGTAACTATCTAGATTTTTATAAAAATCCCTGTATAATTATAGTAAGATGAGAAATAATATTTATTTTGCTTAGTTAGAATAATACCTGTATACTTCAATCTGAATAGAAAGGGATTTTTAGAAGGCTAAAAAAAAAAAAATCCAAAACAACAACAAAAACCCTTGCAATTGACATAATTGACAGCTGAGTACCCTATTCTGAGATTAGGATATTTTTCTCATAAAAGATTATAAGAGATGTTTTCATATTACTGTCCCTCAAGCACTAACTCATATTGAATTTTATTTCAAGTCCAAGATGACTGATAATCTATAGATTTCCTTAAATTACCAGCTATTTTGAATGGCTGTCTGTACATTAACAGTCATTTCATTTGCTGCTGTTGTAGCATTAAATAAAAGTTGTAATAATCTGCAGCCTTTCATATATGAAGATGACCTACTTTCTGTAGAGTACTCTTTTGGGAGCTCTCAAAAGTGGGAGTGAATTTGTACTGACTCATGCACATTTTTAACTTGATTAAGTAAGTGCATATTTTGTGTGAAATAACTTTTGTTGTTAAGTCTGTAATCAAGGAAAAGAAAGCCAAAATGGGAACTATATGATGAATAAAAATTGCTTGCCTAGTGTGGTCTTCTAACTAAGGTACCAAAACACATGTTAAAATTAATTTTTCTGCTAGGCTGTGGATGTTGTAGTTTTGAGGCTCAGAAAGTTAATTGGGTGTAACCATAGAGGGTATTTTTTAATTGTCTTTCTGGGGGGGAGGGGAATGATCCTGCTGTGAAACCAGCACATGATTTTAAAATTATGTGAATATAGAGATAGATGCTGGGCCTTTGAGCAGGGGTGCAGAGTGTGCAGGTCTTGGCTGTTGTTAAGTGTGTGCTTGTCTATAATTAAATCTGCATGTTTCCATAGACAGTGATCCCATCAGGCTTTCGAGTTGGAATGAAGCTTGAGGCTGTAGACAAAAAGAATCCTGCGTTCATCTGTGTTGCTACGGTAACAGATATGGTGGACAATCGTTTCCTGGTACATTTTGACAACTGGGATGAGAGCTATGACTATTGGTGAGACATTTTCCATTAATGTGTGCTTTTTAAAATGCAGTGTTTATCCACATTAACTAGGTGCACAGTTTGAAAACAGTAACAAGGCAAAGCTTATAACAAAGCCAACAGTGCTCTGCCCCACTCTTTCCTAGTTCAGATTTTTCAGTTTTCACTTGCTCCATATTGCATGTATTTCTAAATAACATCTTTTAATGCTACTTCATGATTTTATTTTAGTTGACTTCCTGCCATGAAAGTGAAATCCATAACCACCCCCCACATTCCCAGTGTAACGTGTGTGCGCACATACAGACTTACATATTCCCCTTCATCTGAGTGTCTTCTGTCATTTTTTTTTTTAGGAATTTATTTTAATTTTCCATATTTTCATACCTGGTAGCTAATTTGACCATTCATAATAGCTGAATGCAGCTGCATTAATTGATGAACATTGTTTTAATCCTTACCATTTTTAGATATACTGTAAAAGGTAAAGACAACATATTCTAAAATTATGTGATTGGAAAATAGTTGTAGTAAAGCATTCATATTTCATTTATTTATTTATTAATTCATTGATTTATTTATTGATGTACTAGGGATTGAACTCTGGGCCACACACAGACTAAGCAAACACCCTACCACTGAACTGTATTCCCAGCCCCTTTTATTTTGAGTCAATTAGTGGGACTTAATAAGTGCGTCTCACTAAGCTGCTGATGCTGGCCTTGAACTTGCAATTCTTCTGCCTCAGCTTCCCAGGTAGTTGGCATTACAAGTGTGTACCCCCACACCTGACAAGCCATCAAACTGTAATTAAACAGTCAAAGGATTTTTCTATACCCAACTCATGTTCATTGGTTGCTAGAATTCAGTTTCCTGGTTAAAGTCACTTTTGAAGTCTTCAGTTCTGTCTAGAGAACCCTGGAAATGAGAATATTTTAGAGAAGTGACAAAAGTGCTTATAAAATTTGGCTAATGTTATAGTATCAAGTGAACATTAAGTTATGTCAATATGGCCAAGATTCTGGGAAGCTCATTTCTTGACCTTACTTTTAATGTGCACATATTTAAATATTCAATAGACCCATCAATGACTTTCATTACTCTTCCTACTGAATTCTTAGATATTTATCTTGAATTGTTTTAAGAAAGAAGAGAGTGAATTTAAATTTATTTGCTATTCAGATTTTTTAAATGCTTTCTATTATATGTTTACTTTTTATAGAATTTTTGTAAACAAGTAGACAAGTCATTCCATGATTATGTGTGAGAGTCAAATCCTTTAGAATATTTTGGTTGTTTTCCCTTATGTTTTTCTTTCAAAAGCATAATTTTGCCTCATGTGATGTTTTATTCAGTTTGTGACAAAAAATTTGTGAAATATATTCACATACAAAATGATTAGCTTGGCATGGTGGTGCACACCCGTAATCCCAGCGGCTCTGGAGGATGATGAGTTCAAAGCCAGCCTCAGCAACGGCTAGATGCTAAGCAACTCAGTGAGACCCTGTTTCTAAATAAAATACCAAATAGGGCTGGGTATGGGCCTCAGTGGTTGAGTGCCTGGTACCCCCCCCACCAAAGTTCCTCCTGAATGTCTTTTACTTAATACCAGCAGTTGCCAGCTTATGTCCAGTGTCGTTTCCTCTGTAACCCTGCTGTTAAAAACCCAACTCTAAGATTGTTTTCAAGCCAATTCCAGATAACACAGGTTTTGATGTGTGAATAATTCAGTTGGTGTTGAAAGATGAAAAAATTTTTTTTTTTTTTTTTTTTTTTTTTTTTTTTTAGTTAATAGCTATAATGTCACTAATGTACTCAAACATTTCTCCCAGTTTTGTCTTGGTATCTTATTAGTATTTGGATTTTTTTTTTTTTAATTTTAGGGTGAAATAAGGCATATTCTTTATAGTTGTTTTGATGTTTTCTTGATCTCTTTTCATTGATAGCTCCCTATTCCTTTATGTTTTTTTTTTTACTTTTTAAATCTTTATTGAATTGTTTTGTTCTGTTGAGTCTCCCACAATATGGGTTTGCTTATTTGTCATACCATGTTTTTCTGTTCTTCATATTTCCTGAAAATTGTTTTTTTTTTTTTTTCATTTAAAATTGTTTATATCTACTTTGGGTAAATGGATGAGAAAAGTTTAATTTTAGAAATAGTCTGACCTAGAAATAGTCAAACGTATTTGACTGCTCCTGTTTGGTGGTCTGTGAAGATGGCAGTTCTAGATCCAGTCCTTTTAATAATAAATGATACTAAATTATTGGAATTTGTTGAAATGGGGAGTTTGTTTTCCTTTTTATTTTTATTTTTTAAAATTTTTATTTTGTAGTGCTGGGGTTAAAACCCAAGGCTTTGTACATTCTAAGCAAGCACTTGTCCCTGAGCTACATTTCCAGCCCTTGTTTTGTTTTTAAAATTCTGATTCACTTTGGGAGAATTTTTATTTTCAAGATTTTTGTGTGGTTTAAACAAAATGGATGAATATTAGTTTATTTTTATGGTCATAAGTATTGTTGTGTTTTAAAGGTACTATATACATTGCTTATTTAATAGACCATATGTTGCCTTTCAAATTGGTCTTGGAAAAAATAAACAAAAAAAAATCTAAAAGAATTTGTCATACTCATTTTTCTTGGTGTCAAATGCCTAGGGAACAAACAGAAAGGATCCTGGAATTTTTTTAGAAAAAGATTGTTATAACTCTGATTTTACACTTTCATAAGCATAAACAAATGTAATTATTTTAAGGATGGAATGTTTTTTGGGATTACTTATACTTTTGACTATTGACATGAAATCATATATTGTTAATTGTCAAAAAAAAAAATACCGTATGTTCTCTTCCTTAACATTCAGTTAAGGCACACTGAAAATTACTTAAGCACACTGGAATTTCTCCAGTTTTATTAAATATTATGTTCTTTGATCTTTGAATTTTGGAATGGTTTTTATCTGCATAAACTACTTTGGTGTGTATTTGAAGTTACAGATTGGCTTGCCTTTCTCAATTCAAAATACTTTTGAAATGATATTTTCTTCCTTCTTTGATTTGATAGTAATCTTGTTTCTTTTTGTATTCAAGTGGGAATCAGAAAACATAGATAGTCTATATACATTTGTTTATGTGATATTACATGTTTGGTTGTAATAAAGTATTTTTTCCTTCTAAGGAGGAACATGATAAAAATGTGTTTTGTCCCAGGGGTAGAATGTTGTTCTTCCGTAAATGACTTAACTATTCTAAGCTTTAGTTTCCCCTAAAGAAAAGAGGGAATTAATATTAATACCTATTTCATCCTATGTGGTGGGAATTAAAAAACGTTTTAGGAGCAGAAACAAATTTGCAAAAGGATGAAGAGATTGTAATAAAGGAAGTCAGAGAAGTTTGGTGCTGAAGTCAGAAGAGGATTTTTGCTTAAGGGGACTCTTCCTGCACACAGGGTGTTTTGAGCGTGGTTGTTTGGCAGAGGGAGGTCATGGACCACCGTGCAAGGGGCAAGTGGAGGTATCTGAGATTGTGGAGACACCAATAATTTTTGTCTCTCTCAGCCTGGAAGGAAGGAATAAAAGGAAAGTTGGAAATCTGTGTGATGAGATGACATCTTCTTCATCTTTTCCAGATCACTGCTTTAGAGATATTCACCTTGAAGCAATTAATTAATATTTACAGCAGCTACTGTGGGGAATGGGCTTGGTTAAATTAGGGATGGAAAGGAGAAAGAGGTGACTGAACCTGATGAGTTTTGGGGTTCAGTGGTAAAGCAGAGAGTGAAGGAGGCCCTGAAGAGTTAACATATGATGAGGAGCCAGGAGAGTCTGGTCCTGGTTAATAAGTCGGCACAGTCATGCTCTGGGTTTAAGGAGTGGGAGAGGCCAAGTGTCCTGCATTTCTTCAAAGAACCTAAATCATTATTGCTTAAATGAGGATACTTTGATGTTTTCTTTAAGCAATTGTCTTTTTATGTATATTTTCATTTTTTTTTAGTTACAGATGGAAACAATATATTTATTTTATTTTTATGTGGTGCTGAGGATCGAACCCAGTGTCTTACCCATGGTAGGACAGCACTATCTCTGAGCCAAAATCCCAACCCTAAGCAAGTGTCTTAAAATGTTCTTGCTTGACCTATGCCTAGATCTGTTAAGTTCTGAATGTATGCATTATCTTTGTTTAGCTTTTGGCTGTGGCTAATAAAACCAGGATGTCTGGGTGTGGTGACACATGCCTATAATCTCAGCGACTCAGGAAGCTGAAGTAAGAGGATTGAAAGTTTGAGGCCAGCTTCAGCAACTTAGTGAGGCTCTCAGCTACTTAGCAAGACTTTGTCTTTAAATAAAAATCAAAAAGGACTGGGGAGTAGCTTGCACCCTTGGGTTTAATCCCTAGTACCAAAAATGAATGAGTGAAATAAACAAAATAAAAGGAGGATCTCTTTTTTTCCAACTGAAGGGCTTGGTGAAGTCACTTAGCTTCTTTACATTTCCATAAATGATCTTCATTTCTGTTCACTTTATCCTTCCACAATAAACATAGATTTTTCATGGATTATTCATATAATTATTCGCCCTTTTAATTATGTACTAGTCTAGATCTGATTGACTCTTAACAGTCTTCATTAATAATCTGCCTGTACTTTAATTTTTAAAAAATTCTTTCATGATATACACAAAACCCTAAGATAGAGGGGTACAGAGATCAATGATGTGCTGAACTTTTCACCACTGGTTGTTCCTTTTCTTTTTTGGTGACAGTTCTGCCTTTGAACACTAGGTGGGACTAAGAGATGACTTGTTTTGCAGTGGGCTTCACAGCCTCTCACTTTTGAATGAAGTGTTGTTTGCTACTGGGAGTGTTTAAGTAAAATAGGTAAAAGTGGGGCTATTTTTATCTTCTCTATTGAGATGGCTTTCTTGTTTTAAAATAACTTTGATCAACATATAACATAGTAAGATCTTGTATAACACTGAGGTAGTACAGGAGTGAGTGGCCATAATAGCTCATGGTATTTTCCTTAATTATTATTTAAAGAGAAAAAACAATAAAATAAAAAGAGTTATTAATATTTAATGTTCTTTAAAAGAATCTTCCTGAGTCTGGTAGAATCTTCCTGAGTCTGTATTAGAGTGAGAAGGAAAGAATCAGACAGTTGTTATATATTTATTATTTTTACATTTTTATTGAATCCATATGTAAATTAGCATCCCTTTTTAGAGTAAAGACAATTTGTCATTAGTAATAATCCATAACCAAAGTGAATATTTACAAAAACATTAGGGTAGCTGGAAATAAAGCCCCATAACCCTGTTTATGTAGTTAATAACAATGCAGCTTAAGGAATTCTGCATTGAAATATATTTTATGAAAATGTAAGAAATATAGTGATTACCATATGCATTTGGAATTGACCTAGCAGTATTTGTTTTTCTTGCATATTCCTAAAATAATGATATACACACCTAAAATATATAAAGAAAAATGGCCATCTGTGGAAGGGGAAGGTATGAGACAATGTAAGAATAAAAGAAGAAAGGAAGAAACATCTAACTGTAAAATTCAAGGTATATTTTACTGTAAGTGCTGGAAAAAAATCAGCATGCTATAGTGGTTATGTCAACTCATCATATTCTACTGCACAAGGCTGCATCCTCTGGAAGGTTGGTTTGTAGGTGGTGACTATATGCTGACCTCATTTACTCTGAGCAAGTCCTTTGTGTTTCAGTACTCATTAGACTTGCTTATTTGCTGAAAAACTCTACCACTGCTGCCCTTCCGGCTTTCTACCTTCTGGTTTCCCATCTGAAGAATGGTGTTGAGATTTCCAGATCATTTGGAGTAAATGCAAGCTGGAGAATAGAGGAAGCCTACAGGGCTCCTTGGCATCCTTTAGACCAACTTTCCCAAACTGATATTCATAGTTTGCTTAACAAAGCAGTCTTTCATCATTAACTGTCTTTAGGAAATGCTACATTAAACAATTCAAAAATGGTTTCTTTATAAAAATAACTTCATAGTCTTTAGTATGCTCATGTGAATGTAAATCTCTGAGAAGTATTATATTGTGTCACATGGTCAAAATATTTAGGTATGAAAAAATATGTATTTTAACTTAAGGATACCTATCATCTTTGAGAACACACCTGGGGAACTATCGTAACCACTTTTCAAAAACATATTGTGACATTATCTTTAGGTGCCTATGCATTCTGTAATATTATTGTGTCTATCCCCTTATGAAGATAGCCTTCATTTCCTTATACTGTATTTGCCTGGCAAAATCCCAAACCTAGTAGGATCCAACTTTCTGCCCACTCTATTCCTGTAGGGGAGCAATTAAATAAACCTGGAGAAAGACACATGGCACACTGACTGGTTGACTTGCTGTTGGTGGCTGCCAACCTCAAGTGAGCTAGGAGTCCTGTCCTATCCTTGTCTATATTTCCAAACTACTAAATTTCATTCTCCCTTTTCCCTGCTTCAGACTTCTCACATCTTCTTCCTATCCTCCCTCTTTCTTGATACCTTGATTCCTATTTTATTGGGAAGGAAAACAAAAAAGCAGAGGAGACTTCTTCATGGCAGCACCTCTCATTTCCACCCATAGATTGACTGTGGGTGACATGCCTTGCTCTCAGGGACTGGGCTCTCCTCTCAGGGACTGGTTTCCATTTCCTCTCACTGAGTCAGTTCTCTCTTCTTCATCAGCAGATAACCTTCTCTATTGAATTATTTCTACCAGTGCACATATAAGAGAAGGGTTTTTGTTTGTTTTAATACTCATTGTATCCCTAGCATCTAAAACAATGTCCTGTTAAGGAATTTGCTAGGCATGTACTTCTTGCCTAAATCAGGTAATTATTTTTTCATCTCGTTAAGCACATTTTTATTTTCAAGTAGTGTTAAACATAAAAAGGTTTATGAAATAGTATAAAGAATTCCCCAAAATACCTCACCCATCTTCCCCTAAGTTCACAACTCAAACAGTAAAGCAAAACTTCTCTTTTCCTCTTTAGTGATTAATTTTTCAGCTTTCTTTTATGACAGAACCCCTTAAACACATTTTCTTTATGTCCATCTCCATTGTCTTTTCTTCCATTTTCCCTTAAACCCAGCTTGTTCAGTCTTTTGCTATTTTCCATCCCCAATTTCACTAAAACAGCTCTTGTCAAGGATACTAATGACCTTTACATTGAAGACTTCAGTGATCAATTCTTGTTTCTTCTGCTCCTTTGGTCTGTCAGCAGCATGTAACCCATTTGATTTCATTCTTCTCTTTTTTTCTCCCCTTACTTACCATCAGTCCTGCGTGGACTTTGCCTCCTACTCTCTTACTCTCTAGATGTCTTAGCTCTGCTCGTGGTATTAAATATGATCTCAGATACTGGTGACTCCCAAACTTGTATTTTTACAAGGGCCTTGATATTGCCCTTGAACTCCAGGGTTTGTGATCATTATCTATTTGACATCTTTTATTATCTGTCAGACATGTCAGTAACAGAATTCCTCATTCAACACTTGGAACACCAGTGATTGTGCCTGCTGTCTCCCTCATCCTCTGAAAACAGAAGCTATTTTCCTGTTGTGCATTCCCAGAGCCTTATGATGTCTCAGCTTCTTCAGTGGACTCACATTCTACATTAAATCCATTAGTAAATCCGTTGGGTTCTCTCTTTAAATATATGTCTAAAATATGATCACTTCTTGGCTAGCACGCCTGTGGCCTAGGCCACCATGATCAACTCCTGCAGTCGCCTTCTGACCACCAGAGTGGTTTACTGTCTTTGTGGAAGTCAGAAAAATTTGAAACATGCACCAGGTTAAGCTTCTTCTCTGCCTAAAACCTCTAGTTCACTCCGAGTAAAATCCTAGTCCTAATGTGGCTTGAAGGCCCTTCCTGTCTGACATCGTATTCTGTTGTCCTGCTTCCCTCATTCTGCTCCTTCCTATTCCTGATATAATCCTGCCAGGTTCCCACTCCACAATCTTTGGACTTGCTGCCTTTTCTCTCCAGTATAGTTTTCCTTCATATATTTTTAAGTGGCTAAGTTCTCTTTATCTCTGGCATACTTGTAGTATCTAGTATAGTACTAGCACTATGTAAAAAGTTGCTATACTGTTCTGTTTAGAAGAATTTTTTTAAAAGGTCTAAAGCCTGCATATGTTCAGTCTAGGTGAACCATTACAGATCTAGCCACACTTTCAGTTGTGGTTGGCTGACTGTGGACGTGGAGCCCAGTGGTAACAAGGGCCAACTGTATATATACTTTGGTGGCACAACTCTATATAGACATAAAATGTAGTCTAGGAGTCAATTATGTAAGTGCAGAAGTGTTCCTTTTATATAGCCTAGTCAAAACAGGTTCTCAAGTAAGACACCACATGAGCAAAGACTTGAAGGGTTTGAAGAAAAAGAGATAAAGTACACAGGAGGGTAGACACAGAAGTTGTATGTGAATGCTGTGCTGTTGTATATATGGACACCTGTAGGGATCCTGGAACCAATTCCCTGTAGATACAGAGGGACAACTGTATTTTGTTTGTTTATTTGTTGTCTCTTCTTGCTATACTGCAAATGCCGTGAGAGCAGCAACTTTTAATCTGTTTTATTTGCTACACTTTCCTCAGATTCTGTACAGTGCCTGGCACATCATCGGCACTCAATATTTGAATGAGGAAGTGTGCACGTGAATGGGTGAAGCATATTGCATGTTGAGGTGGGGAATACATAGAAAAAGTATGGTTAGGAGGAAATCAGATGTACATTTATATATAGATAGAAAGGCTCTGGAAGAATACATATGTGGCTGTAGTAAAGATAACAGAGAGGAGAAGAAAGAGGTGAGGAAAGAAATAGCATGTTCTAGTATCTGGCCTCTGCCATTCTAATGGGTAATGGCAATAGCATGTGATTGACTGTGATTGAGCTTCCCAACTTTGAACATATGCTATGAAATAATTTTAGTTTTCTTGTGTGCACATGGTCTTAAGTTTATTTTTCCACATAATGGAAATTCCGAATTTTAATGTTACCTTTGTAATGTTTTAATGTTATCTTTGAAGTTTCAGTATATAACAACATTAGTGGGGCAAAGAAAACCTCATGGTGTCAAAAGCATATGCTATTTGCTAAAATCTACTTGGTGCGAAAGATTTTTAGTCCAGCAATTTGTTTTCAAATTTGACCATAATAAGCAGAACTCTGTAAAGTGTTCAGAATCTCTAACCCTTTTTAAAAAAAAAAAAAAATTTCTGCTATTATTTGTGAGTTTATCTAATAACATTTTTTAAATTTATGTAACCTACAGGTGTGAAGCATCTAGTCCCCACATTCATCCCGTTGGTTGGTGTAAAGAACATAGAAGGACCCTTATTACTCCACCAGGTTTGTGTTTGTCTAGTATCATTCATATACCTCAGGAGTCAGCAAACCTTTTCTGGAAAGGGCCAGGCAGTACATATTTTTAACTTTTCATGCCGTAGAGTCTGTCACAACTTCTCAACTCAATGATAGCACAAGAGCAGCCACAGGTAATAATAGTGAATAAGTGTGGTTGTGCTATAGTTGCACAGTGTTTGTAAAACATGCAGCAAGCTTAGCTCACTGACCCCTGATGTCCCTTCAAGTATGTGAAGCATTGGCTAAGTTTGTATCAGTCTCAGTTTTTTGTCTTCTTTGGAAATATAAGTTGTGCTTTCAAGGAACTTTCATTTTTAACTTGAAATTCATCTCTAGGCTTTATATTAGAATTTAAAGATATTGTCTAATTTAAAGATATTGTCTGACTGCAGATGTGAGTTGTGTAGGCTTAAACAAGTACAGAAAGGTGACTGGGGGGACACAGCTCTGTGGGTGCATCATGGACTTGATATTCACACCATTCATATTTTTCTTCCTTTTTATTGGCGCATTATAATTATACCTAACACTGGGACACACTATTTACATTTAAGTGAGCACTTGAGGGTTTAAAGTTTTTACCTAGAGCTCACACATTCCTTTTTCCTTTTGTGTGTGTGTGTGTGTGTGAGATTCCTGGTTCAGAAATAGATTTTCGGGGCTGGGGATGTGGCTCAAGCGGTAGCGCGCTCGCCTGGCATGCATGCGGCCCGGGTTCGATCCTCAGCACCACATACAACCAAAGATGTTGTGTCCGCCAAAAACTAAAATAAATAAATAAACATTAAAAAATTCTTTAAAAAAAAAAATAGATTTTCACCTTATAATAGTGGTACCTCTCTTTTCTTTGAAGTTCTCTGGTCCTCCAGCTGTCCGCCTCTGGCCTTATGGCCTTCCCAACTTACTTGCTCGCATCCTTGTTCTGTGGCATTTTGAATTTATTTTTTGTGTGCTGAAGAACAGATTCTGCAGCTTCGTTGTAGTCAAGACTGTGTTTTTGAGCACTTCGCTATGGCTGGTGTCATAGTCCCTACTGGTAGGGAAAGGCAGGGTCACCGGCTGACACAAAGCCTCACAGCACAGGAGGTGGCTGCTCAGCGGTCACAGGAAACGGGGAGGTCTAGCTTTGCTAGGAGCTGTTTTGTGAATGTGGCCCACAGCGTGTGAGAGCAGAGGTTCAGCTTGACAGCGGGTGAGAGCAGAGGTTCAGCTTGACAGCGGGTGAGAGCAGAGGTTCAGCTTGGAGCTTTAAATGCTAGTCTCGCTCCATTCTAGGGGCTGGTTTCATTTCAAGGCTTGTCCTCAGTTCCTTGATGCAGTGCCTCACTTAGACTGTCTGATCTTCTTCCTCAGGGGACCAGCCATTCCTGTGGCTGGTGAGCCTAGTCCCTTCCACTTCTAAGTTTTCTGATATGTTAAAGGGAGGAAAGGAAAGCCTCTGACCTAATTTACAGGGTTGTTTTGAAGATGAAAGAGACTTAAGTTATGAAGTGTTAGCAGAAGGTGTTAGTGGTATCACTGCCCAAATATGGTGTTGCCTGGAAATGCCTGGTATTCAGCCCTCTTGTGTCCCATAGCTTACAGAATAAGCTAGCTGTTTGCGTAGTTGTTCTCTGTCACTCTCATCTAAACTACTCTTAGATTATACTCTAGAACTCTAAATTCTAATATTTTCTAGTTTTATATCAATCCTTTCTTTCTATAACATTTTTGGTCATACTCAGAAATTTGGTAAATAAACAGTGAACCATATGTCAATAGTATAAGAGCTTTGTGAAACAAAAGAGGAGAAAATAAATTACAATATTTAAAAAAACAGTGAACAGAGGTTCCTGGTGATGTACCCTGGGAAGGGATGGTGTAAGGCATTATTGCCAACTTCTTATAAGAGAGTCAACACTTTTTTTGTGCTTTCATTGCCTTTTATAATTTGGTGGAGGAAGAAAAAGTACATGATGCCTAATGGAATGTTCTTAAGGCCACTGAACTGGATACCTAAAAATGATTAATATAGTAAATTTTATATTATATGTAATTTACCACAATAAAAAATTCAACCACAACCTGCAGATTATAAGAGTGGTTTACTGGGCATGTGCTGATGTTGCTCTTTGCTCCATGACAAAAAAGACACCCTTGGTGTAAAGGGAAATTCCTGACTCATTCTCCCACCGCCTGTCTGAAAAGAAATCCTTATCAGCCAGGTGCCTTGGGCAGCTGTTCTTGAACCTCCCTGGCTGCTTCAAGAATGAGTCCATCCCCTGACCAGCCAGCCCTCCTGGCCCTGTGTTACTTTTTCTGTAAACATACCTGTCTTTACTTTTTTTTCCCCAAAAAACTAATATCTTCACATTTTTAAATTATTTTTTTGTTATCTTTAAAAATTTTTTTTGTTCTTTTTAGATATACATGGCAGTAGAATATATTTTGACATATTAAACATACATGGAGTATAAATTATTCTAATGAGATCCCATTCTTGTCGTTGAACATGATGTGGAGTTATACTGGTTGTGAATTCATATATGAACACAGGAAGGTTATGTCTGATAAATTCTCCTGTCTTTCCTCTTCCTATCCCCTCCTATTCCCCTTTGTCTTCCTTCATTCCCCTTTGTCTAATCCAAAGAACTTCTGTTCTCCCTCCACCTCCCACCCATTGTGTGTTAGCATCTACATATCAAAGAGAATTTTTGGCCTTTGGTTTTTTGGGATTGGCTTATTTCACTTTCTTTCTTAATACTTCAATATTAGTTTGTCATTAGCACTTTTCCCTATGTGTGTGCTCACATGTTTGTCTGCATATCATTATTTTTGCAGTTTTATAGATTGAGCCCAGACCCTTGCACATGTTGGGAAAGCACCGTACCGTGGAACAATATCCCCAGTCTTTTAAAATTGTATTTTATAATAGGATCTCACCAAGTTGCTAAGACTGACCTTGAACTTTCAATCTTACTGCCTCAACCTCCCAAGTAACTGGGATCACAGGCATGAACTACCATGCCCAACTATATCAGTTTTATTTAGTAGATTATTCTGATTTAAATGCTTAAATTGTGCACATTATGTTTCTTAAAACTATATTATAAAAATGTATAGATAGAAATAGACTTGCATATGTGCTTTTAAAACATTTCTAGTGTAGAAAAGTTTCAAAGATAGTATAAAATTTATCTGTACCCTAGCTTGACCCAGAAACTGATTCAAGTTTGTCAGTTGTCCCAATGATATCCTTTATAGCAAAAGGATTAGGCCTTGCATTCAATAGCAGACCCCTGTAGTCTCCCTCAGTTAAGTTGTCTTTGAGTTTTCTGACCTTAATATGTTTGAGAGTTACAAATAAATCATTTTATAGATTGTTACTTCAGTACGACTGGTATTTCCTCATGATCAGAAGCAGATTATGCATTTTGTTCTCATTGCATCCTCTCAGGTGATACATGATGTCAGTTTTCCTATCATTAATTGATAATGGTCAAATTTGCCTGGTTTCTCACTAATGTAGTTATTTTCTTATTTGTAATTAATATGTATTTTTTGGAGATACACTTTGAGATTCCTTAACTAACCTATATCTCAGTCTCATTCACTAGTTTTGGCATCTGTTGATATTTCTAGTATGAATTATTATTCTAAGTTGGTAAAATGTAATTTTTCTTATTCCATAACTCTTTGTAATTGTTTAACATTGTTCTGAAAAGACTACCTTTCTCACTTTTCCTTTACTCATTCAGTTATGTGTTTGGACCCATAGATTATTATTTTTTAATCAGGGAGTGGCATTATTTATTTTCATGTAAGATTTTTGTGAAATTTTAGCAATTGGGAGACCTGTCCCTTTGACATATCTTAACCACTTTTTGAGAGCATCATACTTTCTGGCTCAGCTTGCCTTGACCCAGTCCTACAGTCAAACATTTCTCCAGAGATCCTTGTGTTTTTTTTTTTTTTGATGTTGTCGAGATTGAAATTTAGAATCTGTAAGATCTGATTGCTAGGTGTGCTTTTTGCTACTGGAGTGTCGCAGGCCTCTCAATGGACTTAGGAAATATATACACATATGTGAATATATACAAAAACTCATATTTTGATTTGTTTCTGCATCTGTATATATTGACACCATGGATTGATACTATTAGCTCTGATTCAAATCCAATACTGTTGGCTTCATTCCAGTTTTACTCTGTCCATATTTATGCCTTTCTTCTCTGTCAGGGAGAAACCTGGCTTCCATTATCTCTAATATGTTTACCTATTTTCTCAGTCCCCTTTGTGTAGCAAATTTCCTATCCTACTGGGCCACCATTAATGTCTGCTCATGCCTACCTAATGGATTTTAGGCTCTGGAGGAAACAAAAAGCAGTGGGAGAGAGGAAATGATAGTTATTTTTGTACCTTCTATTAATAATATTCTGTGATTTGTGTGTGTTTCCTTGACCTTATCTGGAATATCATATATTAACACGTATAAATCTTAAGTATTCTTTCTAATAAATCCTATTTCATGTGTACTTTACATTTTTGCATATTTCTATATTGAGTGTCTATTTAATTTGTTTTTCTACTTTCACATTTACAAATAATTATGCATTGTCTTCATACATATACATGAAATTTTGTTAGTAAGGTATACAACTGCTAGATTAAAATGTATTTGTGTGTCTTATGTCTAAACCTATCCTTTTTGAGAATGTAAATGACACACACACACATATATGTGTGTGTGTGTGTGTGTGTGTGTGTATATATATATATATATATATAATTTTCATCTGAAAAGTGATAGAGAAATCATGATCTAGATGAGAACAAAGTGGTTATTACAAATAGTTCTGAGTGTGTGACTGATTTAAAGATGTTATGTGCATGTGGATAAGAGTTGCCTAGATTATTATGGTAGCAATATTTCATAATTTTTTCATAGAGCATTTTGTTTTTCTCACTATCGTTGGTTAAAACTCATAGGATATAATATTTTTGTTTTATTTTGTAGGATATCCAAATGTGAAACATTTTTCTTGGGATAAATATTTAGAAGAAACAAATTCTTTACCAGCTCCTGCAAGAGCTTTCAAAGTGGTGAGATGATGTGTTTTGCACTACATTTGTTTAATTTGTGTTGATGACATTATTTATTCACTGAAATTCAAGAACAAAAAGAGAATGTCCTGGTAAACATTTAAGAAGAAAATAAAAGGATAAGTGAGATATTTTTAAAATTTTAAAATTTTGTAAGTCATAATTGTTACTGGCCTTTTGTTTTTGGTAAATACACACACACACACACACACACACACACACACACACACACACACACTCTTCTGTTTTACAGAAAAGGGACCAGAAGCTTACAAAACATAAGCTTTGGCATAGTCCTGCACCGTGCCCAGCTATCCCCTCACCTTCTGCTGCCTATAACTTCTCCAGAGGCTCATGTGTCTGTGGGGTTTGAGGTGGAGGTGGCTCTGGGTCCCCTTTTCCATTTCTGACCTGTGGGATCTGTTGTATCTTGCTAATATTCTTTCTTTTTTTTTTTTTTTTTGAAGCTCTCTTCTGCTTTTTGCTCTCATTAACACTTATTAGTCTTGGTGTCATGTCTTAGCCACTTGAATGTTTTTCCTCCCCCTTTTAAAATCGGATTTTATGCTTGTTGAGTTTTGCTGAGCTACCTCCAGCTAAAAATTGTCATCGTCCCTATAGCTAATCAAATAACTAAAATATTTTTGCTCAGCCTTACGTATTCACTCCACAGCTAGGCACTCAGATTGTTTCTCTTGCATGTGTCCTTGGGATAGTAATTTTTGATAGGAAAGGTGCCATCCAGAGCCAATCTGGGAGCTTGAGAGTTTAAAAAGCTGATTCCCTAAATAGCTCAACTATTTCTTATTTTTCGTAACATCAAGCCCACCTGTTCTTCCTCTGAATCTCACTTTATGACATTTTTGTTATGGCAGAAACCTCCACATGGATTCCAGAAAAAAATGAAGCTTGAGGTTGTAGACAAAAGAAACCCCATGTTCATTAGAGTAGCAACTGTCGCAGACACAGATGATCACCGAATAAAAGTAAGTACTCTGTGTGCTTTGGTTTTGGCTTTTGTTACAAGGTGCCATGCCTGGAAACTTCAGAAAAATACTTGTAAAGTCCTATATTTAAACAATAGGAATATGCAAAGTCAATAACTATGCTTCTTGAAAAGACAGCATTCATCCAAGTTTTTCCTTTAATCTACCTCAGACATTTTCTCTTTAATTATAAGTGAGATGGAGGTGAGTGTTCTTGCATTAGTTGACATTTGTAGTAATTTAAGGTTTTGAGTATTTGGAGAAATGTAGACACAACAAACTAATGTTCTGTTCAGAAGAAAACATATCTTCATTCTTCAATAGTATGTTTTTCTAAAAATAATTAATGTTTCTTGTAGGGTGTGTTAGATGTAGTCTTTTCAGAAGAATATACTGTCTTTGAATATAGGACAAATAAAGATAAATAGCTTGATAAATAAAAATAGAGATTCATAAAAACCTCTTATAAGGCAAGCGAATATTGGGGAAGGTGGGTTTAGTTTGTTGAGTGTGGTGCAGCGAGTGTAGGGTTCCAGATTAGGGGCACTGTTGAAGGTTTTATCTGTTTCTGGCTTCAACATTTACTTCCCTTTTCAACCAGAACAGTATCCATTTTCTTCCTTCATGGGATTGTTTGGAATTGCTGTTAGGATAATAATAGTTATAACAGCAAGACATTCGTCGTACATGGCATTTTACAGGGTAGCAGTGTTCTCGCATTAGTTGACATTTGTAGTAATTATAACGTGGGAGATGTGTGCTGTCATCCCTATTTTATTAATGAGGCAGGGACTCAGAAAGATTAAATGAATTACTTTGTTCATTACTGGCAGTGGCAGAACTAAGTCTCAGTTCCATGCTATAGGAGCCTTAATCATAAGCTCATTTAAAAAAGAAAATAACATCCTCCACTAACTAATGAGATAACGTATGAGAAAATAAATTTCAAAATAACATGAAAAACCAAACCAATGTAGTATTTATATAAAATAGAAATTTTAATGTTTAATTGTACTTAAGGTTACGTAATCATGTAACATTTGTGAAAATTTTAGAAATAATGTGAGGCCTGTGTTAATCTTTTTCAAGTGCATTTTCTTATCAAATTGTGTTTGGTTCTGGTGTAAATCATAAAGTAACCAGAATATTTTAGACGTAGAAGTATTTCTAAAAACAATATAGACCAGCAATCAAAAAAATGTGGAATTAATCATGACACTATCTTTATAAGTCAGTTTGCACAGAATTGAAAAGTACAACTGATTTTAGTTTAGGTGCATGAAAAGTTGTTCTCACATAATGACTGGTAGGAATATAAAGTATCCCAGCTGTTATGAAGAAAAGTTTTGACACCAGAATCTTAGAATATTTTTCATTCTTTAATTCAAGAATTTCAGTCATAGGAATTTATATTGGGGAATAATGAAAAGGAATATGCAACAACAAAAGCTCCCACCCAGTTCAGCCATGCTGGGTACGGTATTTAACACTGAGGACAACACAGGCACCAATGGCAAGATAAAGTACATCTACATGATGTTAAAATGTAGCATTTCAGATGCGTATTTAATATTGAGAAGTAAAAAGTTCAGGTTTAATATTATGTATAATATTATTTGATTTTCTTCTTTTTATTCTGAAGAACAGGTAAACAGTTCCGGAAAAAAACATTGTAGTAATAACGGTGCTTGTTTCAGGGTGTCAAGACTAATAAATCATTAGTTTTCTCTTGTTAATGGTTTCTGTGTAATAGTTTCAGGAACATGTATTAGTTTCAGAATAAAAAAAAAATTAGGTTAACTCTTTGATTTTTATATATGAGGAAATTTTGTCCCAGAGCCGTTCAACACTCTCAAGTAGAGGACTCAGTTAACAGGAGAGGTTTAGGCTAGAATCCAGCCTTTTACTTGAAGCTGAATCCTTCCTCCAAAACAACATCCGTGGCAGTACTTGACACCCCCCAAAAGAACTGGCTGTGAGCTGTACAGTTGATGATAACCTTTGCATAATTACTGGAATGAATGTCACAGCTGAAGGTGAACACTGTACAAATATCTTGGTATGTATCATCACCTTTAAAGGTCAGTAAACAGGGGCAGTGACTCACTTCCAGATTCACTGGAGGTTGTAAAAATATAAAAGGTTTCAACAGTAGGAGTTTTTCTAATAATATGAGAGGTGATATAGCAGGAAAGCTTATTCCTTTTTTTTTTTTTTGCAAAGGAAGAAAAAGAAGAGGAAAATATATACTTAAGTCATTAGTGTGGTTTATTATTTTAAGTTTCTCAGAGATAAAATCAAGTCTTAAAAATCTCAATGTTTAAGTTAAACAATATATAATATTCCACACTTTGGGCTATTATAATAAAAAAGTTTTAAAATCTGATATTTTATCAGACCATCTTGATGGAAAACATTCCGAATGTTTTCCTATCATATGTTTTTGTAACAGAACATAATACAGTCCTTCTCCATCCATTCCAGTCCCCAGTCTGGCTCCCCAGAGGCAAGAACTTTCAGCACTCTTGGTGGTTGCTTATGATGTTTTATCTACAGTTTTCTAAAATATTATATATCCTGGCATTTCTCAGTTCACCAGTTTTAAGTAAGGCTTCTTCCTGTTATGATAGTTCAGGATTTAGATTTTTTTCCCACACTTTATTATTGGTACATTATAGTTGTACATATTGATGGGATGCGTTGTTATGTAATTGTACGTGAACACATATAACAAAATTATTTGACCAATACCACTCCACAACATTCCCCCCTCCCTTTCTGTCCTCACCCTTTGTTCCCTTTCCTCCACTGATTTCTCTTTGATGTTTAGGAGATCCCGCATCTTTGTTTTCCATTTTCATCTCTAGCTTCCATATAAGAGCAAAAACATGTGACCCTTCACCTTCTGAATTTGACTTATTTCACTTAACCTGGTGGTATCGAGTTACAATTATTTCCTGCAAATGACATAACTACATTTTTCTTTATGGCTGACTAAAACACACACACACACACACACCATTTTCTTTTTCCATTCATCCGTCGCTGGACAGACACCTAGGCCAGTTCCAAGTTTGACTATTGTGAGTTGTGCTGCTCTAAACATGGGGATGCACATATCACTGCAGTGTGATTACTTTAATTCTTTAGGATAAATATCCAAGAGTGGTACAGCTGGGTCATGTGGTGGTTCCATGCCTAATCTTTTGAGGAGCCTCCATACTGATTTCCATAGCAGTTATACTAATTTATTGTCTCAACAATGGGATTTAGATCTTAAGCCATTCTTATTTTCCCTTATTCTTTCAGCAATACAATATTGGTTTGGTTTTCTTTCCTTTTTCTCCTTCACTCTTCTCATTATGAGTTACTACTACTGTGCCAAGTAGTCTTTTCTTAAGACTTTTTGTTTTTCTGAGCACCGATAATCTCTTCATAGTTTATTTTATTTTATTTTTTAAAATCTTCCACGTCCTCATGAATTTTTTAACAAATGCTCCAGTATTTGTGTTTGGAGTCAGAAGCTCAAGTGTGTTTTTCTTTTCTTTTTTTCCTTGAAATCTTTTCCCCACAGCTCAGCAGCCGCCTCTTTAGTGGATATAGTCTAAGCCTGGGACTTCTCTTTGCTGACACACGACTAAGTTGTATTTCATTTTCCTGAAAATCTCAAAGTCTAGTCACGCACTTTGATTCTCTTCGTGTACACTTATCTTGCTGAAGCACGTCTTTTTGAGTCTTCCTAGGAAAAGGGTGTGTAAGAAGCGGATTCTTTGACTCCTTGCATGTCTGAAGATGCCAGCGTGCCAGCTTTGTGTTTGACTCTTTCCGTGACTGGGCGAGATGTTGTGGGTAAAGAACTGTTCCCCCTAGGTGTTAAGAACACAGTTCTGCCTTCCTCTCAGACATGGCATTGGGCTTCGGCACACCCAGGGCCATTCTGATTCTGCCTGTTTGGGCGATGTTCCTCTTGACTCTGGAAGCTTGCAGGTCTGTCTTTGCTTGGCTGATGTTCTGATGCTTTGTGGTAGTGTGCCTTGTTGCAAGGGTCTTTTCCTTTGTCAGGCAGAGTACTTGTGCATTTTCACCATGGAGCTTCATGTCCTTCAGTTTCTGGAAATGTTCTCCTATTGTTGTTTTGATAACTTCCTCTTCTCTCTGTTCTTTCTGGAAGTCCTGCTATTCTGGTACTGCACTGGGTTGACCCTCTTATTTCCTTCTTTCTTCTGCAACTCTTTCTCTCTCACTCTCTTTATTTTTTTAATTCTAAGTCCTTATAAATATTGAGCCTGTTTTCCAAACCTCCTATTGCATTTTAAATTACACCTGTGATTTAAAAAAAAAAATTAAGATTTTTTTTCTGGTCCTCTTCTTTTTCAAATAGTATCTCTTTTTATATCTTGTCCTAGTATTATTTTTTAATCTGAGGATACAAGTGATGGTTTTTCCTTCTGTTCCTTGCTTATTTCCTGCAAATTTCTTTCTTAATTAGCATGGTCTCTGCTTTCGTTGGCTCTCCTCAAATGTCTAGTGATCTTTGATTCTGTTCATATTAAGAAAGAGGTACCACACATTGCCTGCTTTCATGGGTAGACTTAGAGTTGCTCCTCCTCTCTGTGGGGACATGTTTAAGAACCCCCAGTGGTGGTCAAGGCAGAGATAGTACTGACACCCCCCCACACACAATTTTCCCCATATGTATATACTTGTGATGTAGTTTACTTTATAAACTAGGGACAGCATAAGAGATTATTAACACTACTTGCTAATAAAATAGAACCGTTTTAAGAAGATCTCGTGATAGAAGTTATGTGAATGTGGTTTTTCTCTCTCTCCCCCTCTCTTTTTAAAAATATTGAATTTACCATTTAATATTTTTGACCACTGTACCTAAGGTAACTGATAAAGGGGAAATCCTGGGTTGACTGATGGGTTGCGCCATGGCATAGGAAAGCAAAGAGGCAGGCTTCTCCCAGAGAGATCCCCACTTTTGGCATCTGGAGCCTATAGGTTTCTGCTGGTCTGCAGCTGGGGGAAGGCTGAACTTGGCTGCTGCTGGGTGAAACGATCCATGTTGCACTTCATCACATGCCCATAATGGTTTTTCTCTAGAAAGCAAACCTTTGCTCCTTTGCAGGGTGGCTGAAAAGGGCCTTTGCCTCATTGGGTGGAGTGGAGGAGCAGATATAAAGTTCTAAGCAGTCCCATATTCAGAGTGGGAACCAGTCTTGCCCTTTTTGAGACCCTTCTCTTCACCCACCTGGGGTATCTAGCCCAAGTCCTCTTTGGCTTCTGCAGGGGAACGGAGTGGCTCTGTTCTGATCCCCTCTGCAGGCACCCTCATTTCCCAACTATCAGCTGCTTTCCTTTCTTGTTTGTCCTTGTGGGTTGATGCCTTTTCAAGTGTAACTTTAATTTCAGGAGACACTGGAGGTAAGTTCCTGGGTCTTCAATGTGTTTACTGAGTTGCCTTCATATGAACAAACGCTGGCCAAATCTTTTCTTGTTTTTAAAGAAATAGTGTGCTTTCTAAAATATAACTTTTAATCTTGAAATTGTCACTGTATACAGTTTTTATAAAGGGTTTAAATTATACTTCTAGGTGAAAAATGTATCCAGTTTCCTAAACTATAGTTTTAAACAGTTACATTATCTGTTCTGTGCTCTTATCAATAATACTCTGTTTACCTTAGAAATATAATAAAATTCAACAGTGTTGCTGAATTGTTTTTAATTCAGGATTATTACAATAGAATATTGTGTAAATAATTTTATATTTCTCTTTTGTGTTTGTAAAGTTTGTAAATGTGTCATATGATATGTTTATGTGTCTTTCTCTGCTGCTGTTCTTATTAGGCCTTTGGCTTTATTTCAGGGTAGTACCCAGCAAAAGGAGAATGGTTACTAAACGTTTCTATAACATGATGTTTTTGTTTGGTAAAAAAAACTCTTAATATGCTACAGACTAAAGTCTTAGAAGTTTTCAAAGATGAACTGAAACTATACAAACTTACCTAATGGTTTTTAAATTTAGGCTTCTAAAGTTAGAATGTTAAGATTAATACTTATTTTGTGCATCTTTACATAAATCTGATAGTATATTTCCGAATGCATTTGTTCTTGATTTCTAAACTAAATTTTATATCTGAAATTTTAGCCTCTAAAAATCTTCAGATTGTCTACTAGCATAGTTTGTAAATGGTATTAGATCTATCATCAGTGTCTAAGGTATATTAATCTTAGATCACCTTTAAATTGCCACACTGAGATGTCAGTTTAGATGAAAACTTGGAAAGGATATGGTATCACTAGATTTAATAGCTTCAATATAAACATTATTTGTATTTATACCTGAGGAAAATTAAAAAGAAACTCTTTGATCTGTGATGCTATTAAGATTTTTGGAGACTATATTGCCATACAGTAATGTCCTACTTAGTATCATTGGGTCTCAATTATTAATGCACATCAGAGTTACTAAGAAGTTTAGTAAATGACATACAGGTGGACACAACCCAAGCCAGACCTGTGCAGTAAGAACCTCCAGGGTGGGCTCTGCCCTTTTCTTCCTCTTCTCTTTTCCCCCCAGTATTCATAGATAATTCTGGTGTGTATCCAGGGTAGAGAGTCACTTACCTTGTTGAGGATTGGAGCTCATTTACAAAAGACAGATACTAAATTTTTGAAATTTTGTTGTTTACAATAAAGGGAACATGAGTTATGTTAACACTGATTCCTATGTAAAAGAAAGAATCTAGGGATGGCAAGATCAAAATAATTAGAGTTTCATGTCTAGTACAACAAAGGTGATCTACTCTGATGAATTGAAAATTAGAATCCTTAAAACTTACTATAATGTCATAAATTATGATTACTCATTTATTGGTAGAATTGATGTTACAAATTTGTGTTTTCAGAAAATTATCATGAATGTCATTCTTAATGTTATTATTTTTGATCAGAGGAAAGGGTGGTTTTGAGTTAACTATGAATGCTGTTTGTATTCAGTGTATGTGAATGATGAATTATTTTATTTCTGATTCTTGAGGTCTAGGTCTAGTTTTTCCTCCTAACTAGCTGTATGACTGTCAGCTAAGTAATTAATCTTTAAGAGTCTCTTTTCCTTGTTAAGATCTTATCTGTGATTTCTTCCAGGCCTGAAATTCTGTGAGGCTTTGAATCTGGCCGGGGGGGGGGGGGGGGGGGGGG